TTGCAGATGATTGGCTCGGCTCGCAGCTCAGGGAGGGAGGGAGGGAGGAAGGGGAGTTTAGCAGCTTGGTGGGAGCGGATGGAGGCTGAGAGAAGAGGGCGGGGGTGCGCTTTACCGCAGTATCACTAGATTTCTGCAGCACTCATCAAAACTCTGCGGCATGAAGACAAGAGCTGGGGGGGAGGGCACTCACTCGGACCGGGCTACCTCTTACTTTTAGTCTCCCCTTCTTCCATCCCTAAATAGGCTTCTCTTTTATTTTCCACCAATTTGCACTCATTTTGAGCTCCCCCATCACTTGAAAAAGGGCTACCTGTTTCCCCCATTGGCTAATTGGATTCCCGTTGCATTAGGGTACGCTTTCTACCATTTTTTTTTTTAGGGGTCTGCTCTTGTATAGTAAAATGGCCAAGGATGCGGAAAAAGGCGAGTGGAAGGAGTACATTTGGAACCCGAGGACGAGGGAGTTTCTGGGCAGGACAGCCAGCAGCTGGGGTGAGTACTGTACTGTCCAGCAACACATCGACAGCAATGCAGCAAACATGGAGCCGTGCAACTCATTCTATGTCTGATGTCTTTCCGCGGCTTTTCCTACGCACGTTGGAAGTGTCAGGTGGCTGCTCATCACACTCCGATGCTGTCAAAAATGCGGCTTGCCGCCGGTTATTTTCCTTTTCTTTATTTATTAATTTATAGCACCGCTTCCATTGCGCAATGCGCTGAGCATAAGGGAGGAGGCATATGGTGCATCTGGTAAATATTTTACAAGATTAAAATGTGTGTGGCCTACTGGGCGGCACGCTTTGCAAGGAACAGGTTTCAGGCTTGTTGCAAAGTGCGGACGTCATCGTCCATTCAGGGAAGACTCACTCTTGGCTGGATGAAGTTGGACATTAGTAAGAATTGCATGTTGGTGTGATGTCACGAGTTGGCAGGTTTACACAATGAAAAAGTGACTTTGAGATGCTTACAAATCAGTGCTCACAGGGAACATCGATTTGAAGAAATGCAATGACAAAACCACAAGTAAAACGTAAGCGTCCCAGCCGTCAGTGTGAAAATTTCCCCGAATAACGTGTAGTGCATACGGCTCCTTTGAACAGACATTGGAAAATTATAATTGGAGTCAAACCAAGTGCCAAATGCTCTTTGTACCACCTCCTATCTGACCCGGCCCATTGTCAGGGATTTAAACGTAATCTAATGACGGCATTTGCATCACCGAATGATTGATTGATTTTGTTTGCTTGTTTTTACTAATGACAGCAGGAGTTTGAAGTGGTTGAATAATAATCACGTTCCTTCTAAAAAAAAAAAAAACGATTCGATAATATTCTTGGATTCATTGTGGCTTCAATTTGTTGGAATGTTCCGGCGCTGTGCCAGTTAATCCAGCTCAGTGTGTCCCAGGTGCTTTTAGACCTTGAGGCCTTTTTAAGCTGTGCTCGCTTAAGGCCGCCTAATTGAGCTATTTTGGGAGTTAGCTACTACATGGAACCCACCTTGACTTAGCTTTTCACCTTTTAGCACGCTTTCTAACCACGCACATGTTTCGTTTAAAGCTTCTCATCTAGTTTCTTCGTTTCCTTTTGAGCAGCGCTCTCGCTTTGCATGGTCATCCGTATAATCATCCAAGGTACGGTGTCGAGACTGATGGAGCCAACATGAGTACTTCCTGGAGTGTTCAGAGTTACAATACATTTCTCCAGACTACACCTTGGTTTTGTTTTCAAATATTTGAAACTACAGCCCACTTCAAAATATATCGAGATACGCACCGAATCGTCTTTTATTGGAGAGATCCACACGCCCACAGCCTGCTATATAATCTCTTTGAACGAAACGCCACATTTACAAAACTGACAAAGTCGTTGGGATTGTAAAACCACAACAAGAAACTTATTGCAACGTACTCTCTCGAATTGAGACGTGCCCCTATCAAATCGGAATACTGACTCGACTCGTTCCACTTCATAATGAACCATCCTTGAATCTTATCGCACCCCGTGGATCGAGATACGTATGGAATCATCTTTAATTGGACAGATGCACAGCCCTAATATATACACATATAATCTCTTTGAATGAAATGCCGCATATTCAGTTCATTGGCAAACCATAACACGAAAATTACATCATACCCGCTCAAACAGAGCTGTACCCAATCGAATCAAACCGAATCGGTCTTCTAAAATGAACCATCCTTGAATCGTTTCACACCCTATGGATGGAGATACGTCATGAATCGTCTTTTTATTGAAGATATTCCAACCCCCTACTCGAGACTTAATGAGGGATACACTTCCAGATGTTTTTTTATGGCATTGTTGCGGCATCAGCGGCTGCTCCCGAAAAAGGCAGGCCGAGGACATGCGCATGATCCAAATGGGGGCCCAAAATGAAGCGGGTGTTTTTTAAAGAAAGCACATGAAAAGCACCGCACCTCAAAGACTCGTGTCGTTTGTTTGATCAGCGAATTCAAAGAGCCGTTGAACAGCATTCCCCATGCTCATTAATTCCGCATGTTCTTTGCTTTCAACTGCCAGGTGAGAAGTAGACACTTGCCGATCTATCATCGTTGCAGAGGGCCGACTGTAAACCTAACACCCTCCCGACAAAGACTTGACCCAAACACGCTGGGTTGGTTTTCTACAGTATTTGTTTTTTCATTGGATGACCGCGAATCACTTTCTGCCATGCTCCATCTTTTCCCCTTCATAATGTTTCAAGCTTGGAATGGAATGAGTCAGCCTCTGCCTTTACTGTATCCAGTATCGCTCTCACTCTCTCCGAATACAAATAATTAATCAGGCACCCAGTTACACATATACAAGAATCCCCTGTTGAACATCCTCCCTTCGACATTTTGTTGCGGATTCCAGTGAGTCGATGCAGAAGCAGAGCCAGAGAGCTCCATGCTGGGGGGCATCCAGCAGAGGCGCACTAGAAAATGCTATTTTTAAGACTCGCCACAGGAACGTCACAGACAGATGCTTCCAAAGCCAAAGGAGTAGAAAAGAGGATGGACGGATGGCTCATTTCGCTCGAGCAGACCGAGAGCCGTTTCTAATCCAGTACATTGCCGTGTCGTTAAAAACAGCTCCCTGTATGACAGAATGAAGTTCCACTCATGGAAACCCATTCACAAACACGAACAGACAAATTTATTTGAGTATATTTCAGTTTCTGAAGAAACTGAATGTGAACGTTGAAAAGATGTTGCGCATTATCAACGCCATTTAAGTCGCATCCTGTTGCCTCAATGCTACGTTATTCCTTTTCCGATGCATAGACAGATATGTATCACCACGGTCTCCCTTGCAGAGTTTAATTCATTAAAAGACCTCCTGTATAGTCCCCCCGCCCCCCTTCGCCCTCCGTCAGTGCAGTGTTCCCTCCTCTGCAGTGCAGCTCTATAATGAAATTGGTTGAAATTTGATCGCTATTTAATTAACGCCCTTCAGTCGTCGGGGACCAAACGACGTAACATTTTATCAGATTTTTGCCAATTGAAGGGATTAGTAATATGAATGGAATGAGAAACAGATGGCCTTCATGTGAGTGAAACAGATTTGGGCGGGGTGAGAGGATGAATCCGTTTAATGAGGGAGGGGGAAATGAATTGCTCTTCATGACTTGGTGAAATCATTCACACAAACCAGCTATTTACTGCACATGATGGTGAGGAGGATATGGACTGCACCGATCTCAAGTTACAGAGTAAAGTTGAATGTGCTCATTGTGTAGTTAGCCCCTCTGAGATGCATAGCCAACGTGTGTTTGGAGACAAAATGTCGAGTGTGTAGCTATGCCTGCCCCCGCCCCCCCCGAGTGACTTTGAGCAGCCTCAGTGTGACATCAGAGCAATGTGATTCGATGCATGCTAGTAATTGTTTGGCATTATTTTCGTTTGTTTTGCGCTATTGCAATGGTGCAAATTTGTCCATTGTGAGACAATAAAGCTTTTCTTATCTTATTTTAAGGATTGGGTTAGTCTGGTAATTTATTGTTGAATCCAGGGAAAAAAAATAGGCACGATAAAAACAAGAAGAATAATAGTAAAAGTAACAAGATAAATGCATAATGGCAACAGGTTGAATATTTTCGAATGGGGTGTTTGCAGTGACCACTCTCACAGCGGCGCAGTCCTCTGTCTTGCAGATCCAATTTTTTTTTTTTTTTAAATTGCAAATACCTTTGTGACACTCAATCAAAATGAATTCTGTGCTGGAAATAAGGTGTGGTTCTTAAATGTGCTGTTGACATTGTTTTTGTTGCATTCCGTCCATGCCCAAGGTCAAACGATCCTCTCCTTTCCTCGTCCGCAGGTCTCATCCTTCTCTTCTATTTAGTTTTCTACATCTTCCTGGCTGGCCTGTTTGCGCTTACCATGTACGTCATGCTGCAGACTTTGGATGACCACAAGCCGACCTGGCAAGACAGGCTCACCACACCAGGTGCAGTATCGTAACCGGAGATAAGAGCCACGCAAGCACAGTTCACCGTCTGGGGCGCGGTATACAGTGACTGCTCTTGTTTTTCGTCTGGAACTCGCAGGGATGGTGATTCAACCCGAATCCGATGAGACTTTTGAGATCATCTATAACATCCAGAAAACTGAGAGTTGGGACATGTACACTCAGGCCCTGGACAAGTTCCTGGAACGTATGTCTGAGAAAGCTTACCGTGACGGATTATCCCACATTCTTCCGCGAATAACCTAATAAGATGTTTCCTTTAGTGTCCGTATCTACCACGTCACTTTTCATCAGCAAAAACCCTTGCAACAAATTTAGAGCCTCGTCCTGGCTTTTCTCCGCAGCCTACAACAGCACCGTCCAGGAGCAGAAAAATGACGAATGCAAACCAGACGAGTACTTCTTGCAGGAGGACAGCGCCGATGTGAAGAACAACCCCAAGCGTTCCTGTCAATTCAAACGCGACTTTCTGCAGGACTGCTCGGGACTCTCTGACCGTTACTATGGATACCAGGACGGCAAGCCATGCATCATTATCAAGATGAATCGGGTATGAAAGAGGAGAGGAAGGAAAGGGATGATGTTGCTAGGAGACAAGGAGTGCCTGTGATAGTGGAATGGGTTGGGATTGAGGGAAAGCAAATTCCCAGTTCAAAAAAAAAAGAAAAAAAAATCAGTCTCAAAGTTATTTTTAAATCAGGCTTGTATTTCGTTCCCTGCAGGTGATTGGAATGTTGCCAGGAAAGGATGGACAGGCTCCTTTTATCACCTGTGGCGCAAAGGTAACCCAGAAAAGCTCAAAATAGCTGACATTATACCGCTCACAGCCGTCACACCGTTTCAACTACAACCGTGCACTGATTTTTCTTGTGAATGTGCCCACTCTCAGAGGTACAAAGTTGGCAAAAATGAATGGGTAAGAATGAATCCCATGCAGTGATTTATAGTGTAGCGTTCGATTCTACATAGCATCAGACTGTAGCTACCAAATTCCCCTTTGTAGGTGTAATTACGACTTTAGTAATCGAAAGCTGATACTTCATTAAGTATACCTGCACTAACTAATGTGGTCACATAGAAAACAAACAAAAAAAAAAAAATCGAACATTCATTGTACCGTATGATCATTTTTACAATTTACCTCCAAGACAGTACATGATGTTCACTGATGTGTTTTTCTTTTGTGATGCACTGCAACATACCAACAGTTGCTTTGCCCCATCACATCACCAAACAATCTCACCGACATTATAGAAACAGCTCTATGGTGCAATTCTATACCATCAACCATAATAAACAACAGATTGTCGCATTGATTCGGAAATGTAAGTGTTACTTTTTGACCGTGCAGGTGTACCTAATGTGGTGACCCGTGAGTCTTTAGAATGCTTTTGTAGTCTCTACTATCTATCTATCTATCTATCTATCTATCTATCTATCTATCTATCTATCTATCTATCTATCTATCTATCTATCTATCTATCTATCTCTACCTTGTATATATTTATACTGTATAGACAAAAAAAAATGGTGCGTTAAATTTACTCAATTTTATTCTGCCAAGTGGTCGCACAAAAATAAAATCAGGATCCAGATTTCTTTTTAAATTCTCTCTCTCTCTCTCTGTATATATATAATATTTTAATATAATTTATATCGTTGATATGCCAATAGTAGCCTGTAATTTTTATGCTTCTCAGTGGGACCTTTTGCCGTTTGAGCGTCTGTGACTGTGTGCGTGCGTGCGTGTGTATGTATGTATGTATGTGTGCACGTGTTTAATCGACTATCGAAAGAGACGGTGGGCGTGTCGCGTAATGAGATGTGAAGAAAAGTAGGAGATTAATGAGGTTCAGCTCCCCGCTCGCCTACAGACACTGAAAGGCATTTTTTTAGGCCATAACTCATGAAATTGTTTCGCCCCCACAGAGAGAAGACACTGACAAAATTGGAGAGTTGATGTACTTTCCTCCCAATGGCACTTTCAACCTCATGTACTACCCTTACTATGGCAAGAAAGCTCAGGTAGGATGTCCTGGATCACAACGTTGTATCTCTTATGTTGGAAACGTACAAATGGGTACCCGTACATGAACTTTTTCTTGCCTTGTCCGTCGTCGTTTTTTCCTTCCAGGTGAACTACTCCCAGCCTTTGGTTGCCGTCAAGTTCCTTAACATCACCGTCAACGAAGACGTCAACATCGAGTGCAAGATCAACGCCAACAACATTCCCTCTGGAAGCGAAAGAGACAAGTTTGCCGGACGAGTGTCTTTCAAGCTGAGAATCAACACCATTAACTAGGTTTTAAAAGCCTTTTTTCCACCTCTGAAATCTTCATGCTCTGCAACGTTGCACATGCACAGAAATCAAATTGCAGCATTCCCGCCCTTTGTGGGTTTCGTTTACAACCCCTTCGAAACTAAAGATGGAGTGGACATAGTTTGTCCGGGTGTGTGGTAAGATAATGCAAGAAAATAAAGGGTGGTAATCCTGTAATTATTTCTGTCTGTGACCTTGGGGACAAATTTGTTTCTGTAAAATTAATTTCGAGGTGATGTCTATTTATACTGCATGACAAACGAAAAGGGGATATGAAGGATATAATCGCGTGTTTTTCAAAGTTCGCAAGGACCAGTAACACCACTGTATTGCTGCTCCGACCTTGCTGCCTCAATATAGAGCGTTCCTCTCGACGTGATACACATCAATACGAAGCGTGCAAATCTAACAATTTTTATTTAGATTATATCATAACCTCAGAGCTAGACTATCGGGATGGGCATATGACTAAATTAACCATCAATAAATCGATTTGGTTATTTTCAATATGGCGAAAGGTTCTTCAGGCCGCAGACTTCTTAAAACCGAATCGACAGCACCTCTGGTGGTTGAAGACAAGTACTGCACCCCGTTTTCCGACAATTGTCAACACTCTGCAGAATGCTTAACAATCACTCTGCCCATCCCCAAGCCTAACTTGTTGCACTCAAAAAACTATTCCGACCGTATATATCTTAATGGGTGGATGCTGAGATGAAGCCATTTTGCATGTGTGTATTGTCTTTCGTGTGCTATGAGGGGAGGAGTCACCTATGTCCCAGCTCTTCACTCAGTGTGGAGATTAAAAAAATAATTATAAGAATTAAAAAAAAAAAAGGTTCTGTCAGACCACTGACCACCAGGAGGGACCACCGTGTAAGCGATAGAAATCAAACACAAATTGTATGGGATGACGAGGAAGAGTTGAATACCTTTAAGTGTGTGTTTGTGGCTTCAGTGTTTGCGTGTATGTTCGGTACGTTGACACATTTCATACCACGGGTCGGGAAATTGCATGTGTTGTGCAATAGTCATTAAATCCGTATATTATGAATGATTGATCCCGTTGTTTAGAGCTGACTAATTGTGTATCAACATCACGGTCGGATGTGTTGAGAGCATCGATCAGTTTAGCACGTTTTACAAGGTCTTCCTTCCATTATTTCAGAAAATCCAACCCTGCGCTTTTTCCAGTTCACCTAATTTGCGTTTGTCATGGTGTGTGGAAATATTTGAAATGGGGCGAATTGTAGATTTTTTTTTTGTCCCATTAGTTTAGAATGATCTCAAACTTTCCACTGACTATAAAAGCTCACCTTGCGCTCTGTTAAACCCCAATTTTTTTTCCACTGCTGTTGATGGTAATATTTACACTTATATTTAGTTTTTTTTTGCCTGTTTTTTTCACTAATTTGCCAGACCTTCAAAATTGATTATTTATATTACTATTTATTTGCATTGCTGTGCTTTTTGGTGACACTGACTTTAATTCCTCTAAACAGTGTTTAAGAGGTTATAATAATAGTTGTAGTGTGTGTTTATTCCCTTTTTTATCCTAAATCGTCCCGGTTTGCGTTTTCCCAGGACAAAATCGAGTCTCTTCAATAGGACTTGGTAGGTTGATATCGGAAGGGCCTAAAATAAACAAACTTGATATTTACTGCATATTACATAGAACATGAGGGGCTTTTTCAATGTAATTCATCACACCAGACACAACATTTAAAAAGTATTTGCTCTTAAATGATCTCAATCATTTTCCCTAATACTCTGCGGCCATTTTAATGCGGCAAATGCAAATAAAGCATCATATTAGCTATAACCTCAAGACTTTGATGTTTTCCCCCTCATTTTTTCAGTCCATTCACACGCACGTTTCTCTGATGTTGCTGCAACACTTAATTTCACTCTAATCTCTTAATCTGGTGAGCTAATCCAGAGCCTGCATGCTGAATTTCTTTGCCCTACTCTGTTGCTCCGCCTCCTTGTCATTGCCTCCAAAATAGAATTGAAACAAGGATCATTCATTCTTTCCCTAGATTAGAATTATCGGTGCATTTAACCCACAATATTGCTTAATAATTCATCTAACAGCTTTTATATTACAAAACCCGAACGAAAATGTTCTTTCTTGAGCCATCTGCATGCGAAGGCGAGTTCTTCAACCAAAGAGCCTCATTCCACTTTCAGTTTTCTTTTTCGCAACGCCGTGTTAGAGAGCAAAGATCAGAGTAAAGATGCGGTGAGGAGATACTGTAGGATTCATGTGAGTGCAAAAAAAAAAAAAAAAAAAAAAAGCAGCTGTGATATAAACAGACCCGACTCTTACATAATCGAAATACGCACGTGTTTTACAAAGACATAACAGTGCCTCCTGGTGGACAGAGTAGGTTGTTGCCAGGGTCCAGGTTATCTCATCTCCGGTTTATCGCTTTACCGCTGATAGTGAGGAGATGTCTTCAGAAAGCAATATCTGTCTTTCCCGTGCGGCCATGGGATTCGTGGAAGAAGGGATGTAATGTAACGCGTCAAGAGGCAAAGTCAAATGAGAACGTATTATTTGTGGCAGACTATCTATATATTTTTTTGCTGTTCGGTTGTAAATTTTAGAGAATGTATCAGCTCGGATTGTATCGTGTAACTGGAGACACATGGAAGGTTTTCACCAATTCATCAAATGGTACAAATAATTTGGTTGACAAGGCTCTCTCGTTTCTTTTTTGTACTTTTTACCTGTGTGTGTGTGTGTGCGTGTGTGTGCGTGTGTGTGCGTGTGTGTGTGTGAGCTATTTCCACCTTTGCCCCATCTTCTAAGGTTTTCAGGTTTGCAATGAAGGAGAAGTAAGGCTGTATGTAAAACCTTTCCCGAACAAAGACACAATGTGTTCCAGCCAAAAATATTGATAGAAGTATATTCAAGAGTTTTTTTTTCTAAAGAAATCCAAAACAACCAAAAAAATAAAATAAAAATCCCCTCGCCCCCTTCTCCCTTATACAACCCTCATATAAAATTATTCCCAGAAATGTGGTGCAAAGGGAAGAATCCGCTCAGTTTTGTCGCCCAAATGGATGAGAATTCTATTCTGGATTTGTATTTTTTTGCTCTGACTGTATGTATATTTTTGCTCATGTTTACTGCAAAACAAGATAGAGAATTAATAAACGTCATTTAAGGGAACCGAACCTCAAAAGTGTGGCCTCTGCCTCCGAGCTCTTTTCCAAGTTGCAAAGGGATCCCCGAATGCCAAACATCATTGAGTGGGTGTAATCTGATGTAATCTCATTGACTGACGGTAATCCTCCCACCACACAATATCGGTGCGCCGATCATCGTGGGTTAGTGATTATTGATAACCCTTTAGTGGTTATGATGTCATAGTTTGAGTCATTAAGTGTTGTAAATGAGGTAAGTGAGGGATCTGTGACACGCAGCAAAGTACAGGTCAAAGTTCGAAGGCCTTTGATTAACCCTCTCACCATCAATCTTTTTTTTTTTATTCTCATGTCGTATATCTAAACGTCGTCCCCTGCGTGACAAGAACACACCGGAGATACACTGTACTTTCTCTCCAAGTCTCGCTGCAGGTCTCCTCTGATCACCTTCGTCTGCCCTGTCACCGTCTTCTCAGAAAGAGAGAGCACACAGCAGGGAAAACACAGATAGGACGGATTACCTGGCTTTAGAGGTATTTGTGGCTTTAAAATAGTCTTATGGAGAACAGTATAGTGTTTTGGGTTCGAGAAGTTCTTTGCTCCTCAATCATTTTGAACCCAATCAACATTTGAGGTATTATTGTCAAATTTTATTCCCCCCCCACTCTCCCCTCCAAAAAAAAGAGAGAGCCGTAACCACAAATATTTGAGGAGGATATGTTGACAAATAAGCACCTTTATTTTTATTGGGAATCATTTCAGTTTAAAAATGTATAATACTGTCACGTAATACTTCACAATTGCATCATAGTGAAGCACCATATTTGTCCAGCATATAATTTTTTTTATATCTCTCTATACAGTATCTTTCAATCACAGGCAATAGGTCCCAGTGCTAATTTATTAATTTAGACCAGAGGTTAGCAATGCTGATCCTCGAAGGCCCCTATCCTGCATGCTTTCGATGTTTCCCTCCTCCAACACGTCATTCAGTCGATCAAATCATCAGCAGCCTCTGAAGAAGCCTGATGAGAAATGATCATTTGAATCCGGTGTGTTGGAAGGCAGAAACGTATAAAACGTGCTGAATGTGGGCCCTTGAGAACCAAACTTGGTGACTCTTGATTGCGACCAAGATACATTTTGAGGTAGTGCGCTAACTCTCCAGGGAAAAAACATTTATGGTGAAAAATCAAGGCAGTTTAAAACAAACAAAAAAAAAAACCTTGGGATGCAGTTTCCCCTAATACAAATTCATGTTATTTTGCTAATTGCGCATTTCCTTGTCATTTGTTTTACAAATGAGCCTGCGGAATATACAGAACACTGGCTAAAGGCTAATAATGTGACAAGCATGTCGTTTTCTGTATTTAAAGCTCTCTTAGGTGCATTTCTGCGGTGACAAGGTTAGGGTTATGAAAAAAAAATTATCTTAACATGGAAGTATGCACAGCTGCCATAAATATAGCATGAGGAAAATGCATATTTGGTCCTGTCACTATAGCCCCTGCCTAATCAATAAGTTATATATTATCCTGGACTTCAAGCGATCAACATGGACCTTCAACTCATTAGTAAAATGTTTGCAGAGTAAAGAGGTCAACCAGTGTGGCAGGAGCGGTCATCCTGGGTCGGGGTGCAGTGGGAACTGATCCAATGAATTTTCCAAAAATTATTGTTCATTACTTACAGCTAAATGTTTGTTCAACTATCTATGCCAGCAACGTATTGTGATCGGCAGATATTCTTAAAAGCGCCGCCATTAGATGGGAGAAGGTACAATCAACCCGCGTGAGCCCCTGTTGCCATTCAAACATGAGGGAGAAGCCATTATTTTATTTGATCAGCTTTGTGTTCAAATTATATTTTCAAATTTGACACTTTTCTAATGTTTTCGTTTCTTTGTCGAATGTAAAATGGGCACCTTGGCTCAATAGAGGATGGAAAATACTGTGTTGAGGGAAGTTTGCTACCTGCGGTGTAGCCCCCTGCTGGCCATTAGAATGAATGCAATATTAAGGCACTTCCATCAGCTTCTCTTGACAAGCCCGAAGGTCAACTGCATCATTAGCTGCCGTCGTCAAGTCCACTTTTTTTCTTTACCATAATATATTCTACTGTGCATCCCCACTAGTCTAAACCCCCTGTTCGGATTAAAATTGTATTTGTGGACTATAAATCAAGCATAAAATCCACCCCTTTCTATGCATCTCAGGGAGCAGCAATTTTGCAACTTGCTGTCGACTGAAAATGACATACGACAGCGGCCAAAGGCTCAGCGTGTGAATGTCACGTGACCAAACCCCAAAAAACAGATGAGCCGTGTTAGTTGTTCACTCGGGCCGTCGGGTGGATTTGTCAAATTTTCTGACAAATGTTGGCGAAAATCAAGGGGTGGCCTCTGTCATAAGCGACATCTTACTTCACCCATCAAGAGTGATTTTGAGATTATGGAAGTGAATTGTTATTTGTGACTATTCATACTCATATGGCTTTTTACACGTTCAGTTACTACAAATGCAATCTAAATGAGAATATTATGTTTAGACTCGTGGGGGCTAATAGAACATATCAAGATGATTTTTGACTTGACTTTGACCTTTAAAAATCCTCCATGGAAACATTCTCTTTGGTGAATTTACAGATCTAGTACCAAAAAACTAATTGACTGCCCTGTGTTTGGAAGGAAAATATGGATGGCAATTTGAGTTGTAATACTATAAGTTCATTCACATTTTCACCACTTTCGATGCCCGAGATTCCACAGTGGTCAATGCGGTAACAAGAAATGATCCTGTCTGATCGGCAATGTTTTCTTTTATGGCAAATCCAGCATGCCGTTTTCCTCCAGAGCTTTCTGCGTCCTGTCATAGACAACTCCAAGGGCCCGAACCACCCGTCCCAGGACTGTGCTCAGCTCCTCCTGGTTCTGCACACACAACAGCCTGAAGAAAAATTCCCTCTCGGGCATGGCGATGAAGGCCAGCTCGGCAGCCCTGCGCACAAACCAGGAGTGGTGCTTGGCCAGGGTGGTCTTGTAGGCCTCGCGGCACAGCTCCGATGGGCTCCTGAGCCGGCCCGCCACGGGGATCTCGGCCAGCTTGTCGAGAAAGAGCTTGAGCCAAAGCAGGGCTCGGTGCAGTCGCAGAAGAGTCCGACATCCGGAGTCCGTCTGGTGGTTGAAGTCCACTAAGCCTTGTTTCAACTCCACCCAGATCATGGAACGCACGGAGTGGTAAGCGCCGGAATGCTCTGAGGGGTCTAAGTTCTTCACTCCAGCCTCCGGGCTCCCTGTGTTTTCAGGATCTGGATACACCTCTGCTTCGGGGCTCGCCTCGGCTCGAAGGGCCAATTCCCGGATAATTGAGGTTTTGGTTTCAATCTCTTTCGATATAAGGCCAACCATGGGGCCTAAAGCCTCCATAAACCTGGAGGACACGCAATAATCATAAATCATCACCACCATCCTGACCGTACACAATCCTAAATGAAATCATTGTTTCACAACAGCGTAGTAACATCGTTTATCTCATGTTCTTACTTCACAAGCTCATCCCAGCTGGACAGATAAGGCTGCAGCAGTACGTCAGATGTGAAAGCCGGCGACGCCAGCAGATGGGTGAGTAGCAGTGACACCTGGAAGATCTGTCCGGGGCAATCCTTCAGGACTTGGGGGTCTTCGGACACTTCGGAGGTACTGCTGTTGGACAGCAGGTGTGGCTAATGTGGCGGGTGCGGTTGGGATGGGAGGTGCGTACGGGCAAGACAAAGAAAGCCAGTTCAATTCATTCAAATCAACCGGAATCCTTATTAATGAACTTGAATGGGTTAATTATGTCAACGTACCTCGTTCACTTGTTTGTAACCTTTTAGACAAGCATCCCAGTGGTAATCCAAACCTCCATCTGCATTAGTGACAGTAAAAAAAAACAAAAAAAAAAAAAACGTACATTTTTGTTTTGGACAGGAAAGCAGCCAAATTTTCTTCTGTTTAAAAAAAAGAAAACACTGCAATCGTAGTTTACACTTAGTTATGTCAATTGTATGATTGCATAATTCTTTCCAGAAATGCGAAAAACACGGCACCCTATAGTGTGCCATTTGAAAATATCCAATTTCACTTCATTTGTTTTAAATGTAACGTGTATGTAATATAATTATATCCAACTTGAGCTGCCTATGCCGACAATGATTGTAAAGCAGAACAATTAAATGTACTTCCATGAGATGGCAGAACCTAAATAAACCTTCTACCACCCCCAAAATCCATACGTTGAATTGTTAAAATATTGCCTCAAGTCATATTTTGACAAAAACAAATATTTTCCTCAGGATGCTGTCATTCAATTCCACCCATGGATTTAAAATTGTTTAATTCCAGTTGTAATTAAATTACAATTTAATTATGTCATGTAATCAGTATTTTTTTGTTTGTTTTGTTTTCTGAAAAAATGACTTATGCTGTTATTTTATGGAAGGTGACAAGATGCTATTATTTACTAGACTTAGATTCGCTTCTTTACAGAAAATGTGATTTGTATTTTCTTTCCAAGATCAACATCATATACTGTATATATAATAATATAATCACATTTTACAATGTCACAATTTGGTCATTGTGAAAACTCTGTATAATTTTATGACAATTGTCTTGCTTCATAAATTGGCTTTTTTTCCCGGCTTTAAGTGAATCTTCTGGTGTCTGTTTTGACTGAAGTTCCCAAATATATTCCTTGCCCCATAAAGATATCATTCAGTGGCTGCTTGACAACATAAACCATTCATCTCTGTGGCATGCCGCATCAAGCGACTCCTTCTTTTCAATTCGATTTGGTATCGGGTGAGCATGTGCGTGAGCGGTGCTCGCTTTTCACAGCCACTCAAACATGTGACAGCCGACTGACTGATTTAGACCATACTGGATGAGGAAACCTCTGGTGTCTCCCCGCCAACAAGGGAGAGGTTGTGTAGATTTATTGTACATTCCATACGTAAGAGAGAGATTGAGAAAAATTACTCACGGAGCCAGAGAGTGCCGAGGAAGAGCACCAGGACTAAGATAGCCAAGGCAGCCTTGCTCTTCACACCCATGTTGAAGTCCACTTTCTTTGCTGCTTTCTCGCTCTGTATCTTTTCCCGTCTAATTCCTCTGTGTCTCACATGAGTCCTTGTCCCCTTACACTGCCTGTTACCACAATTACTTTCTTGGCCAGACCCCTTTGCTTCTGAAGCCCACCACCCCACCCTTTGCCCTGGAACCTTTCATACTCCTCCCCAAAGCCTTAAATCACAAGTTGTTTCCACCGCTGTGCCTCTCCGAGCGCTCCCATCTAAAAGTGAACAAGTGCCGCCGCTGATTTTGCCGTCCGCCCCTCCGCGCTGTCACGAGTCACGCCTGCAGATGCTTTTTTTTTTTTTCTTCATTCACATGTCTTCCCCTTGCCTGCCTTTGTGTCTCAATGATCCCTTCAAGCCGCTGTTGCTCAACGTGAAAGGGTCCAGAGATCACTCCGAGATCATCAGTGGTTGGCTGATAAAGCAGAGACAACGCAGCGTGTCCGCCAGTAACCCCCCTTCTTCTTCTTCTTCTTCTTCTTCTTCGACTTCTCCTCCCTCCACATGCTTCTCCCTACAGTATGTACATACGCCTTATATTTCTTGGCCAGCTTGAGTAAACGCTAACTCTCTCTCCTCCCACCAACACCCCCCCTTCCTATTCTGTCTCTCCCTCTTGCTTTTTCTCCCCCCTTCCCCTCCCCTCACTCATTCACACACAGACCATTGTCAGCATTACAGCCTCCAACATACATCACATGGTGGAAAACATGAAGCAAAGCCTCCCAACTTTTGCCTATTTCTTTAATTTAAAGAAACCCGCGTACTTCTCTGTATTGTTTGAACTAAGGTCCACATGTGTCAATGAAATTGTCCAAGCAGTGCGTTTGGTGTTGATAGCACTTCCAACAGCCACCGTCAAATTTTAAACATCTTTGAATGTTGGATATGGAGGGCTTCCTACAGCTCTCACCTCTCCCCGGGAAATTCTCTTTATCACCAGCTTTGAACTCCACCCTTGACTGGGCGAATGTGAACAGGGCATTGAACTTGGCACAGTCAAGCAGAACCACATGCACGTTCCTAAAGAGGGGCTTTAGAATGGTATTTCTCAGTTGAAGAGATGGAAAGAAGTGAAAGCGTTCATTATATGACTGGGAGGGGCTTTTATTCCACGCAACCAATGGACGACGACCCCATCCGAAACAGGCAGTAATAGACGAGGGGAGACCGAATCCCCAGTGGGAAACATGTGACCCACTAAGAAGAGCCGAGTCGACTCGGCTAAGCAACTGCTGTGATTTACTTTCTGGATAAGCAATAAATCGACGTGATCTCGAGGCTAGGAAAAAGTCGGCCTTTGTGCCATGCGGGACACCGCTGGGCTAGAACATGGGGTCCAAAAGCATCATACTGAGCGGATATGTTTATGTATGGAGGTTCGGTAGAGCGGGAAAGGGGCATTTCATCAGTGTCTGACACTCCATATCCCCAACTTGGTTTCACCCCACCCCGTGGCGGCACAGCTTTACTCGAGTGAGGAAAACATCTCGAGTTTCAAAACATTTAACCACACGGCAGCAGAAGTCACTTGTTGAACGGTTAAGATTGGGTTTCTGTATAATTATTGACTATGGGTAACCAGATAGTAACAATGTGAATTTGAATGTGGTCGGTCTCGCCCCCACCTTGTGCAGATCTTCCACTCTTCTGGGAAAGCTTGGTACATGATGTTCGGGTGTGTCTGTGGGAATTGATGTCTATTCATCTGAAGTAACATCGGTGAGGTCAAAGGTGACTGATGTTGGAGCTTAGGTAGAGATTAGATGCTTGCTTGTTCTTTCCATCTCTGCTTGATGCGCTTGAGGCTGGAAATGACACAAGGAAGTGGCATGAGAGTTTCAAATGTGTTAAGCGGCGTTATAAAAGGGGTCGGATTTTTCATGATGGTTGTTTTTTTTAAATTTTCGTTTTGACTTTTGATTTTTTTAATTTCAGTTAGTTAGAGTAGGTTTCCTGCTTTTTGTTCGTTTTTGTCAGTGCTCTGTTTTAGTTTAGGGTTTGTTTGTTTTTTTTTTTTTTTTTTTTTTTTGGGTTTTTTTTTTTTTTTTTTTTTTTTGGGTTTTTTTTTTTTTTTTTTTTTTTTGCTGTTAAGTGTGTCAAAAGTTACCAAGATCCTGTGGAATGTGGAATATTGACGATTTGCTGGGAGGGGAGTGTGAAAAGGACTAATATCAAGAGCAGACTAAGCTGTTTAACATAAGCCACTTTCATACCATGTCAGAAGCCAGAAAATTTGACAAAATACTAATCACAAACTCTCCAAGTGATATGCTTATGCCATATTTTTTGAGCGTTGACTTGCTTTTTATTATTGTCACATCATTTCTTCACAAACTCGCTGCGATATGTCACATTGTTGTCATTTGGCTCTTGTCTACACACCAGATGTACTCCACTTTGCCGAGATTAGATCAGCAGCCTCAAGAACACAAGTTTGCACCGTGCATCATGCCCGACTTGTCCCTCTGAATGCAGATTGTTTAGTTGCAGTTCTGCTCTTGGACAGATGCAACCTTTCTTCTCTCTTGGTTAGTGTGAGACATGTAATCTGCCTTGTGCCAGCTCCGATTACTCTAAGGAAGCTCATCACTGTTGCACTTACTGTATATTTAGAAGTACATCACATACTGTGCAACTCACATGGCGCATTCCAAAAATCAGTCTCTTGCCCTTGTCACAGCAGAGTGACACGACTTATATTACTCACAGCACTAATTATAAGAGCAAGTGTAGCACCTGGACTTGAATGTGCAAAGTCTTGGAGTTTTGAAGTTCTACTTGTGTTACTTCCGTTGAATTGTAATGTGAAAAGTCGATAAATGTATCGTGATGAAGCGCTACAGCTCCGTTTTTTATCGGTATCGTTTACCTCCAGGCTTCTGGTCCCTCCACTTTTTTGGTCTGTCGACACTGTCTCACTCCTGGAGCCTTTCTAGCAAAGTAGTGAGGTTCTTGTGTGTATATTAATACACTGGATACATAGCAGGGAGCCGAGCAGGCCTTTACAACCCTGTCACCTGTTCACATTCCTGCAACACACAGCTGCATGTATGTCACACCCTTTCTGTCTGAGACACTGACTAATTCCAATCCTTGCTCTCAACAAGGCGTTGGCTTGAGACCCCAAACTGACCCTCGTAAAAATTGCTCTCACTCACAGAGTCATGACATGCTCTGACATACAGGCCTATATAGAAGGGTGTGGAGTATCATTCAACATTGCATTTATTTGTCAATTTTCTTCACATAACCAAGAACCAAATTTATCCCAGAGCTGCTCTGCCTTATACTCAGATGTTTCTTGCATTTTGGCTATCTTACATAGCTAAACAAAGTTACCAGTAGGAAACACCCCTTAAAATGGAAGTCAACCACCCAAAATTCTTCATCATAATATTGTTCTGTGCACCATTACTGTTTTGAGCCATTTCAGGGGGCGGCCATTTTGCCACTCTACTTTCTGTCGACTAAAAATGACATCACAGTTGCTTTGGGCTCAAGTAACAACCAATCACAGCTCACCAGTTTCCTGAAGCTGAGCCATGATTGGTTGTCAGCTGAGAACCGAGCAACTGTGTTGTGATTTTCAGTCATCAGCAAGTGGCAAAATGGCCGCCCCCTGAGATGGTGGAATTTACTGCTTAACTGATATTTCACAAATTCAATCTTGATCAGAATCCCGTGTTTAGACTCGTGGAGGCGCAACCAACATTTTTGGGTTGACCTCCCCTTTAATGTGAAGCAATGTAGTTTAAGAAGCCCACTGCAAATTACACCATAAAATAGTTGTTCAATTGTTAGGGACCATCTAAAATGAGTAGTATTATCTATAATAAGGCAGGCTTTTATGACTCTTTATTTTTAATACATTTTGAGAGAGAGTCTGGTGGCGTCACTCCATATACTTGCTCTCTAATGACCATAATGATTATTATTGTGGGACACTGGACTGTGACTTGACATCCTGGTTTAGTGCACAGCTGCTGCGTAATCTGAGTCCAAAGATAGCGACAGCCGGGGTGGGCTCACTCGAGGGGTTTGGTGCGGGGGATTTAGGGATCTTCCTCCCCGTATTTACTCTTCCTCTCACTTTATGCTCCAATAGAGCTCACTACAGAGAGGAGGTCCTACAGCATGATGGCAGCATGCAGTTTGAAACAAATTTTAGGGATTGGGATTCTTCTGGGGACATTTGTTGTGCAAGGTAAGCATCACGTTTGGCATATTGTGACAGGCTTTCCGGGACACTTATTTATTGTTGATTCATTTTCTGTCTGTGACATGCAGTCAGCAGATCAGGTTTCAGAAGGAAGAACAATGATATATCTCAGCACATTGGCTGTCACACAGATGCACACATGAGAGTAGATTGGCAAGTCAACGTGACTGCACTGTACATGGGGTGCTGATCCATCAATCCATTCTCGAAACCGCTGATCTAAGGAGAAAGGACAGACAGCTCGTTGGATTGGTTTCCAGTCACAGGAATTGTGAATGGGCGTTGAGTTGGAATTGCTCCCTGACTGACGGCATGAAAGTAAAATTTCTAGCCAACCACTGCTATTGGCCAGGCGGTACTGATGGAAGCAAACTACATTAATTGAGGAATTTCATGCATCTGCTGGCAAGACCCTGCAAGATTGTCTTTGACTGAATGGACCCAAGAATGATAGTTTGATGTATTTGTGGACAAATAAATTATTAAGGATGGCTCTTTGTGGTCTGGAAAGAAAAAAAAAAGAAACATGGGATGAACTTAATCAAATTGAAGTAATTCCATCAGACCCTATACATTATCGTTGACTGACAGAACTAATTTGTTAAGTGCAACCTGAAATTTGTAACTTTATCGAAACAAATTTATTAAGGTGAAGCAAACCAATTACTTCAAGTGGTTGATTGAAATGAAAATTATTAAGTGTCATCCGTGTCATTACTGACTGCAAATAAACATTTTTAGTTTGACCTGAAAGTCAAAGATTTGAACCCGCCATTGCTGAAAAATGCATGGATGACGTGCTAACCAGTCAGCCACCATTGCTACTAACAGAAGGCATATAAAATGGGATCCACATTTTTTGTGTTGTGACGGTGACATCGCTCACCTTAGGTTGACATGAGGTCCTGTTTTGAGTGTCGTCTGTCGTGTAATCTGAGCTCAGCATAGTGACAGCTGTGATAGAAGAGGCACGGGGTCGGAAATAACCTCTGCCTTTCTCTCCTTCGGTGTGTTGTGAAACTTGTATTTTTGTGTGGAAGTGCTTTTTTGTGAACGTGAAAGATGCTGGATAGTTTCATGGTTGAAATGAATGGCCGGGCAGTGCTGATGGGCTTAGTTTCATTACACTGTTAACTGACAAGGCATTAAGCTGTACCGTTTTGGCTGCTTGTTTACACAACATCAACATTTTGGAGCCTGTAAATGTCAAAATTGGAATTTCTTTTTTTTTTTTTTTAATGGAAACGCTTATTTTCACAGAAAAATGAAAAGCACGCGCCCTCATGTGTTCAAGCACAAGAATGTCACAGCTAAAAGTGTAAAAAAACAAAAACAAAGAACTACTGCATGCAGCAGGGTCACTCAATGACTCGAGAAGGTATTGAAAAGACAAAAAATATTACTTAAAGACAATATCAACTCCTGCCATGACAAACTTAAACCCAGAACCTCTCGATTACAAGGCAGATGTGCTAACCACAAGCTTTTTGCTGCTCAGCTTTGACTATGTGTCTACTTTGTACTTGTGCCATGTCTGTCAGGGAAGATCAATTGGATTATGCTTGATGGAAATAAACTTGTAAAAATGCATGGAAGTGCATGAAATTTAGATGGAGAAATTAAGTCGTAGACCCGAGTGCTGCTTTGGAGTCACTGACGTGTTTCTCCCTTTGTTTGACATCGTTAATTTATTTGACATACAATTAGACGTTTGTGTTCCACAGATTCCACCTGGCAAGAACTGGCTGTGCAAATTTCCAAAGTGACCCCCACCCCCCAAAAAACAAAAAATTATCATACATTGTCAAAAAAGTTTGTTGTGACCTTAATGTGAGCCAGCAGGGCACGCATCAAAAACAATCCAAAATACAGTTGGAGACAAATAGAGACGTTTTTGTTTATTTGTTAGGTTTTTTTTTTTTTAGTAAGTTCAAACAAAATGTGGAGCTTTCATTTCAACGTCTTGCTGCTTGCGGGCTTGTGTCAAAGTCCCACAACTTCCATTCTTCTCTAGCTGTGTCGCTATCTTCTTCAGTTGTTTTATGAATGCTAAGAGATAAGGATTTATTCCACAGTTTAATCGTGGAGGAATATATATGAATTGTGATAGCAGAATGCAAAATGTTTGGGGTTTTTTTGGACCTGTGCACTTTTCTGCTTTGACATTGTAGTTTAACATCAATAACTGCCACATTCTTAGTGGCTGGAGGATTATGGGAGACAGCCAACTCATCTAGTCATTGAGAAACAACATTTTCTTTGATATCAACTCATCGTCACCCTTGTCTGTTTTCCTCTTTGCAGTTCGGGGTAATGAAGAGACGCAACTGATTGGAAAGATGCTCAAAGGATATAACAAGAACATTCGTCCTGTCATTCATCCTGAGGACAAAGTGGAAGTTCAAATCAAGCTGACCCTCACCAACCTGATCTCCCTGGTGAGAGCGCTCCGCTCCCTGTTGCAACAAAGCTCCGCTGCACATTAAAAATAAGATGGATAGCGTCTCGTGGAAAATACACACTGTGTGATAAAATCAGACTTGGTAACACATGTAAAGTCTTTGTCAGACTGAGGGATTAGCCATGCATACAGTGAATTATCCTGAAAATATTTTTTGACTTTGTTCTACAGAATGAAAAGGAAGAGACTCTTACAACCAATGTCTGGATTGAAATAGTGAGTTGAATATTTTCAGAGCTATGTTTAACATTCCCGGGCCATGCTATTCACCACTCCGCCGGAACTCATAGTAAATGTCACATGATCTCTAATGTCCTCCATAGCAATGGGTTGATTATCGTCTTGCCTGGAATGCATCCGAATACCCTGGCATTGATACCATCCGCATCCCCAGCAAAACTGTGTGGCTCCCTGATATTGTCCTTGAAAACAAGTAAGGGTAAACCGCCCAATGTCTCCCTCCCGCCTGCAACTTCATCACGACAGAATTTTCGGCCCTTTAAGCCCTGCTTCTGTTACTCGCCCTCCATCTCTGCAGCATCGACGGCAAGTTTGATGTGGCTTACTACGCCAACGTATTGATTTCAAGCGACGGATCGATATATTGGCTTCCTCCCGCTATCTATCGCAGCACGTGTGCCATAGAGATCACCTACTTCCCTTTCGATTATCAAAATTGTACACTAGCGTTTAGGTAAGACACGCTTCATAAGAATAAACACATCCAGTGCTTGTACAGCAAATGATCTATGTCGGAATTTATTTCTTCTCATCAGATCACAGACATACAGTGCCAATGAAGTGGACCTAATTTTAGCTGTCGGAGAAACAGGCGAAAGAATTGAATGGGTGGACATTGACCCTGAGGCTTTCACTGGTAAAGGCCTTGCATTCTGGAGGATTCACAGACACTGTTTTCAATTTATCCAAATCAAACAAACATGCGCCTTGTTCGATGTTTGCTTCCTATTTTGTTTTTTTACTTCTTAGAGAATGGCGAGTGGGCCATTGTCCATCGTCCAGCCAGGAAGATGATCGACCAAAGATACTCCCCTGATGATTTGGAATATCAGGAGATCAGTTTCAATCTGGTCATCCAGAGAAAGCCCCTTTTTTACGTGATCAACATCATCCTGCCTTGCTCGCTCATCTCGTCACTGGTCGTTCTAGCATACTTCCTACCTGCACAAGGTAAGCTAGGCCGTCACTTATTTAAATTTTTTTGTACAATCAGAGAGTCAGAAAGCACATGTACTGTAAGCCGGGAGCATACAGAGAATAAATAGCCTTGTAGGTGAAAAGCTGCCAGTGATTTGGCTTCTGGATGGCAAGTGAGAGATAGCCAACCTTGTATATAAAACTAAATATAATAAATGCAGTGATGTTAAGGTTTTACAAGTTGTGATAAAACAAAGTGTGAAATGCAGGGTCTACCATATAGACAATGAGCGGGGGCATTCATGTACAAAAGGTCACCAGTTGTGAAAGATGGTTCTGCATAAAACAAAAACATTTGCTCCGTCCACACTATAACCTAAATGATTACAATGTAGAGAGAATATAGTGAGCCTAAGATGGACCCCTGAGGAACTCCAGAACAAATATTGACACTATAGGCCATTGAACTAAATACATTTAGATCTTCTCAGACAGGTTGGTCACAAACCAACCAACAGTACGTCCAGACAAAACAAAACATGAGAGAATCTGTATCAGAAGCCTTGAAGAGATAAATAAATAGTGCAGTACAGCACTGTAATTTATCCCAAAAGTCTGAGATATTGTTTAACACTTTCATGGAGCTACCGTGAAGCCAGAATGATATGAATATAAAATATCATTTCTGACAAGGAAGTTCTTTAACTGAAAAGGATGATTGTTTACGCTCCTAAATCTTGTACCACCTTTCGGGGATTGTACTTCTAAAATGTTTGTGTTTTGTTTCATACGTCATGATGTTGCATTTCTCCTGCACAGCTGGAGGACAAAAGCTCACGGTCTCCATCTCGGTCTTGCTCGCCCAGACTGTTTTTCTCTTTCTTATTGCTCAAAAGGTCCCAGAGACATCACTTTCTGTCCCCCTCATTGGCAAGTAAGTCTGTTTGAGGTTGTCAGTCACCAGGCCTCAAGTGCTATTTTAACTGTGATCCTACCCAACGTTTCTTCTGCTTATGTGTTAATGCACATTTTCGGTGTCCTTCTATGATGTCCTCCTTAGGTACATCATCTTTGTTATGTGCGTCACCACACTCATCGCTACCAACCAAATTGTGGTGTTAAACTTCTCCCTGCGCAGCCCCAGCACTCACACCATGTCTCATCAAATTAAGCATGTAAGGGCGTCCATCCACCTAAATGGAGGTTGAAATACATTTAAAAAAAAAAAAAAGGTCATCCGAAAACTAAATATTCAAGCGCAGTACCGATACCTGACAAATCAGGTACAGGTACAGTAACAAAGTATTTGTACTTTGTCATGTCCCACCACTGCTTATGACACAATTCTCTAGATGTCGCCTGAATACTGTCAACTTTTACACACCTTTCCCCGCTTTCAGATGTTTTTGGAGACGGTGCCCCGCTTCCTTGGTATGCCGTCTCTGCTGGATGACAACGAGGTGACATCAGAGGTAGATGGCATGAGAGATCGAAGACGAGACTCCTTCGGCCTCATGCAGAGAGCAGAGGAGTATGTGCTCAAACAGCCTCGCAGTGAGATGATGTTTGACAAGCAAAAAGAGAAGCACGGGCTGATGCAAGCGAACGGTGAGAAATCCACAGATTCCAACCAATCATCTGAGCATCTGTTACGCATGGAAGTTGATCGTGAAATATTTGTCTAAAATCTTGATGTCTGCTTCCCTCGAGGAGATGGCATTGACGCCAACACGACAGCCAACCTGTACAAGAGTTTAGCTCAAGCTGCACCCGAGATCAAGCAATGTGTGGATGCCTGCAATTTCATTGCAGAGAGCACAAGACAACAAAATAACATAGGCTCTGTAAGTGTTATTTTTCACATGATCAGAGCACGAGTGTATTTCTCTCTGTCATGTTTTGTCTTTTACTTTAAATTAATCATATTTTGATTCCAAATTTAGGAAATTGAAAGCTGGGTACTGATTGGGAAGATGATCGACAAGGTGTGTTTCTGGGCCGCCATTCTTCTTTTCATCATCGGCACAGTGGGGATCTTCCTAACGGGACATTTCAACAGGGCGCCCGAATGGCCATTTCCTGGAGAGAACAACAAATATGCCCCAAAGTAAAATAAAATTAAAAAAAGAACAATTTGAATCTCCCGAGCCTGAGACTTCCCAAAAGCTCAAAAAATGCTTGCCGTTGTGAGAGGATGATCATAGTGATGTGCACATGGCTTCAATTTACTGTGCACAACATCAAAGATGCAACATCACATCACAGCACAGCCCCTGAGATTCCAGGCAGACTTGCGACCTTGATCTTCATCTCAATGGGAGTTATTTAGACATATTGATAGGTCAGGGCTCATTAAAACATTTAAATCATTGTCATCATCATACAAATCATGCAAGTTTTATACGTATACTGTGTTTGCGGTATGAATTAAAGCAATACATTCTTAATGTTGTATGAGGTGGTACATGGTAAAGTTTAGTGAGGGGAGGGGTTCATAGTTTTGGTTTTTTTTGTAGACTGTATCATAATGTTGCCCTGTTTGTGTGGGCCTTTATTGACTCAACGCGTTACCACCAAAAAAAAAAAAAAGACTGAGTTTTTCTTTGCAGTACTATGTCTTATTTGAAGAACGTGGGTGTGGACCTTGAGCCAGCCAGTTCATCAAAGCCTTATTGTTCTTATGATAACTTATTTATCAGGATACCTTGTAGGAGGAAGATTTACTCTGGGGAGCTAATGCGTTGATGTCATTGTGCTATGTTTTCTAAATAAATAATTGAATACATGCATTATGACTTGCTGAGGACCCTTGTATCGCCTGTTTCTCAACCGGAAAATACATTTTATCTTGAAGGGTTTCGTCAGAACAAAACTCTCTTCTAATGAAACGCAAATAAAAACAGAATACAATGATTTGAAAATACTTTTCAACCTATCTTCAATTGAAGACTTCACATATGAAATTTTCAACCGGATCCTTTAAAAAATATATACAGTATATACATTATATTATACTGTATTTATTCACTTATTTTGAATTTGATGCTTGCAACATGTCCGTGTTTTTAGGGTATTTGCCACCTCCCTGTGGCCATAAAAAGAACTACATTACATACAGTTAGCCGCACGTTTCCCTGGCCCATCCTACTCCTGCAGGAGGGATTGAGAGTGATTCTAGGGCTCTTGAGTGACAGGGGCCTGAGCAAATAGTTCTGTCAATTTGCTGAAGTGACATTTGGAAGAGCTCCTGATCCCAGAAGCAACTCCATCCTACATAACTAGATTCTCAAGGACAACACTAACTCAAAAGAATATCTTACCATTGCTTTATTGCCATTAAACAAATAAAAAATTGACAAATCAAATAATAGGTTCGATCATACAGTAAAGTATGTGCCCATAAAACGCCCACCCTGCCCTAGTTTGAACGGATATTATTCAAGATTTCAGGTCTGGACTGACCACCTGAGAAATCTCGCGATACTTCCCGTGACTCACGTCGCCGCAAGCCGCACCTTAGTGTTACCTTCTGTCATAAATCACACATTCCTCAGCTTGCGCGTGACAGCTTGCTCCACAAGACTAGTCGTGGCTGGCCTCGAGCAACTAACTGTCTAAACAGTTCTTCCCGTCGGTCGAGCATCATATACACACATGTAATTCTGGTCGTCGCGCCACAAACATCGTGAAATTGTGGCTTTGGTTGGTGCGAGCGTGACACAGCTGGTTGAAACCAAAAACATTGTGCAGTCCTCCTGACACACGTCCTGTCATGTCTCCCGCTTGTGACAAGGGAGGAACTCCTTTTTCTTCTTTGTGCTCCTCTCTCCCCGCTGTACTTAGGGACGCCAAATGGGAGGGGACTAAAGTGTACAAAACGTACGCGAGGACAGAGTGTAGACAAAGTCTTGAATGAAACGCTGCGCCGCGGTGAGAAAATGGCTTTACGTGTGACTATACGGTTAAGTTGAGGTCGTCGTGGATGTTTAGGAGCCGAGAATGCTGAGCTGCTGGTGTTCCTTTTGAGCTGAGAGTGAGTATTAAAAGGCGACGGCACCGCTGGGCCTCAGCTCGACGCTAACTGCATCGATCTGTCGCATCATTGCCAGTGTAATCTGCACATTTGACTATTGAGTCGGTACCGGTGTGAAAAAAACAATGATTATTCTGTCACCGTCAGTCATTCACTGCCCCCCCCCCCCAGTTCATTGACTTTTTCGGGGATGTATCGCTGTCAAAAAATGTAGGTGGGTGGAGACGACATTCAGATTTTTGGCATTTGCAAGTTCACTGGCAACGATATCTAACCTTGATTCAAAGCATTGGGAAGGATTAAAAAACGAAAAGTGGAGCAAATTGTGGAGTTGAGGTATGATTCACTTGGAAACTTCTACCAAGTCATTATCCGCCGACCAATTCACGAGGTACACCTGCACAGTGGAATGTTTTTGTTACGATGCACTAAGGAAGGACTGAACGATTTTTAAATATAATTGAACTGCGTCAGCTCCCAGGTTTAATATGCGATCATTTTGACGGCCCTCCTCCTATGTGTGTTTTAACAAAACTACAGGCTTTACAAGTTGAAAATGTTGTTATTACATTGTTATGTCGATTTGGATTTGACTATTTCTTCAGCCCTAGTCACAATGATATTTATTTCATTTTCCATGTCCTTTTTTTTTTTTAATAAACACTTGGGCCTTCTACACAATAATATTTTTATGTTGGTCATGGTGGTGATACTTGAAAAGCTGAATAATATTTCAAGGTGGTTCTTGGTGTAAAATGTTGGACAACCACTGCTTTAGATGACAGGAAGCAATTCACGATGCTTTGTCCTGTGTGAATAACTTACAAACTAACTAATAACTGTCCTACCAAGTGCCTTTAAAATACTCCAACCAGCTTGGCGACCTGATTTGACAGTTCATTATGGATGTCCACCAGCGAGTTATGCTGAGAGCTTTGAATGATTGCGGTTCAGGGGAATATAATTTTCCTCCCGGGTCACTGAACTTCCATGTCAGCATGTGAAAGTCAGCATGTTTTGTGATGGTTTGACACATGTCAACAAGTTTATGGAAACATTCAGTGTAGTCCTGGTTGGGTGTTGGTGATACAAGGAAAGGAGACATTTACACTTTTGCGCAACTGCTGACATGCCATATTCGTTTCACTTGTAACATATGTATCTTTTTTTCTGCTTAGGAGATTAATACAGAAAAAAGTCTGGTTCGATTATACTGAGCAACAAGCTTTTCAAGACAGGAAGTGATCAAAATAAATGCATTTCATTGGCCCCTCATTATGACAATGCTATACTTGGTGTCATGGTGTAGGCTACTAAACAGACATCTTATTGTCTCTTCCTTCTGTCAATTCATGCTAATGTTTGCAGGAGGCTTTCAGGAAAGTGAGACAATTATGGGTCAAAAAGGGACCGACCAATACTCAATTTGACCCAACTTTTTGGGTTGTTTTGCACAAAATAGCCCAAAAATATGGTTCTTCTGCACAAAATGACCTAGAAGGTTGTGTCAAATTGACCCAAGTAGCATTCTGGTCTCTTATTTAATGCACACTCACAATGTCCTAGTCAGTAAATTTTGAGTCCAATGAAAAGGTGTAGGGAAAAATCTGTTTATTTCCTGCCTAAACTTTCACTACCCTCCCCCACCTCATGTTCTCTCTTTTCACTCACATATGCACAGTGGCCCTCCATTTCCTTTGCCTGTTTCCCAGGAAACATGCAGACACCCGCCCACATGCATGCACCCCATACAAAAGCATTCACACACATTCACTCATTCACTCTTACTGCTTTGTAGCTGCATCCTGTTTTTTTTTCCCAACCTCCTCACTGATGACCCAAGCAGCAAATAAATGCCACCGGCGCCAGCAACGCTGTTGCTGACCCCTCTGAAACTCTAGGTGGCTACCAGTTAACCTGTCACACCAGCATTTTCAAGTTGAAAGTGACATGGACAACTTTGGTCCAGCAAATCGGAGATCACACAGACTCCAAGAAAACTGCCAGAAGTCTTGATGGAATCAGATTATATCCTCCCTGAAAACTTTTGCAGTTTCTCACAAAAGCCTCTGTCAGACAAATCCTTTATGGAACTATTGTGCACTATTTTGCCTGAACCCCATGCACTGGCTGATGAATTCTTTTCATGCTTGTCTTTTGCAGCAGTGTAGCTGGTACTTGCATCTACAATGGCCACTCCAGAGGATGAGATTGAGCCCCCCTCTCAGGCCTCTGCAGCCCAAATCCTTGATAAAAGACGCTTCTCTCATGACCTTCGCATTCTGGGACGAGACGAGATTGACAAACTCTTATCCACCACCGGTAAGAAATACCTGAGCTATTTCAGAGGGTACTGAGTGTCTATTGAGCAAATGAACTGCTGGATCAGAAAAAAAATTATTTCTATTTTTTCCAAACAGATGGCCGACCTTTTAGTGTGATACATCATCTTCCAGAATTAAAGGAGGAGGGTATACCTTATTTGATACCTGGCATCCCGATCACATGTCGAGTGGATAACACAGAAAGATACACTACTCGCTCTAAGGTACAGTGCGTATGTGATTGTGTGAATGCTGAATGACAAGCATTGGAATGTGCATCAAAATTATTGACCATATTTCTTCAAAAGGTGACTGGGGGCATTCATTTACTCAACTGCAGAGTTGACAGTGCATTTATTAGAGGCAAGGAGTTCCTTTTGGGAAATTATTATTTTTAGGCGCCATTTTAAAATGTAATGGTCAGATACAGTCTGTGTTTATGTGATCATAATTTCAGATAAAATCGACTTTATCCCATCATAGGTCACCACAGCAAGTTCACTGAATGGATGGATGTACCTGTATTACAATATAATTTTTTAAAAATGTATTTGAGGAAATACAGTTAACCTTAGATTTGTTTTTCTTCTCATCTCCATCCATTTCCTTCTTCAAATTTAACTAGTCGCATATCCGACCAATCTCTATTCTGCTCATGATCCCTGGAGGGAATATCTGCTTGATATCTGGGTATTGCAATGATATGTGTTCATTCATTTCATTTCTGTAGGTCCATGTCGGCACCTTGTACACAGTGATGCTAACCCATGGTCAATTCCACTGGACGGTCAAAAGGAAGTACAAGCACTTCCAGGAGTTGCATCGAGACCTTTACAACCACCGTATGATGATTCACTTTCTGCCTTTGGGAAGGTCGGTGCAACTGATTATGCAAAACAACCTTGTCAGAGTGACCGGTTGTTTTGAAGTGGAAAATGTCCAAAGTTTTTGTGTGAGTATTCAAATGTCTGTTCCAGATTTGCAAAGGAGAGGCAACAGCTGAGGGCCATGTCTGAGGAAATGCCCAGCCTACGCGGTAATCAACGGACTAGAAGGACCTCCAGCAAAATGGTATCAGAAAAAAACTGTCATATTACATACACGGTAGAGCACATTCAGTAGCTCTTCATAGATCCTGTCCTTAAATGTAGTGTGATGAATTCTTTAAAAAAATGACACACACATTCTGAGCATTGTGTTTGTCGATTTCTTCTGTTGTTGTATTGTTGCTAAATCCTTGCTCAGACTAATATAGTTATTTGGCTGTTTTATTTTTATACAAATGTTGGAGATCTGTGCTCTCTGATTGCACTGACTCACTTTATTTCTCTGATGCAGAAATACCTTGAAGAGCACCTGAATGATCTCCTGGAAAACACGTTCTGTAGGAATGACCACAGCATGGTAAAATATTAAAAAAAAAAAAAAAAAAAAAAAAGACGTGCAGTGTAATCAAATGATCTTGACTAACTCAACGGCATGTTTTCCTCTCCGCCCCACCCAAAGCTGGAGTTTCTCTCGGTCGGTGCTCTCTCCTTCGTCACGGATCTTGGGCCCAAAGGCTTGTAAGCCTTCGACTATTGTATTTTTGTGATAAGCGATGGACACGGATGCTGAGAAATGACTGTAATTCATTTACTGTGCTGCGCGTGTGCTCAGAGAAGGGCCCATCTTCAAGAGGTCAGGGGGTCACCGTGTTCAAGGTCTGAATTGCATCGGCCATCATCAGATTTGCTACCGCTGGTCAAGGCGGTGGCTGGTGGTGAAAGATTCTTTCTTGATGTACATGAACCGAGAAAACGGATGCATCAACTTTGTTTTGCTCTTCGACCCCGAGTTCAACGTGAAAGTGGGCCGTGCTTACACGGGCACTAAATACGGAGTATGCATCGACAACTTCACTCGGTAAATCTGCTCTGTGTTTGCTGAAAGAATGCGCATCCTTTTTCCTTGGTAAAAGTGTGCTGCATGATTCCCACTTGCTGCTTTCAGGAATCTGATCATCAAATGCAGTAGCTATCGACAAGCACATTGGTGGAGTCATGAAATCAACCGGCTAGCTGCAACCTGCCATTTCCTGAAAGTTCAACGCTTCGATGGATTTGCTCCTCCACGGGACAACACACTAACGAAATGGTAGCTTGTGTATTTTGTCTAGAGTGTCTTGTCTTTAAGCGTTCATCTGAACGTGAATGTCATTTGTGAGGAATTGTCATTGTTGAAGGTATGTAAATGGGAGCGACTACTTTGCCGACCTTGCCGATGCGCTCGAGCAAGCAAAAGAGGAAATTTTTATCACAGACTGGTGGTAAGTGCTTGGATTTTTTTTTTTTTTTTTTTTTGATGGAGATTTTCTTTTTTGAGGTGATCATACTTACATAACTTAAATTATAATATTTTTAATACTGGGGGGAAGTGCCTGGATTTTTTTTTTTTTTTTTTTTTTTGATGGAGAGTTTCCTTTTTGAGGTGATCATACTTACATGACTTAAAATATGATATTTTTAATAACATCAGGCTTAGCCCTGAAGTGTTCCTGAAGAGACCGGCGACCGATAATGTCTGGCGCCTGGATGAAGTACTCAGACGCAAAGCTGTGGGTATTATTTCTTATGTTTATCTTAATTTTTTTTTGTATTATGTCTTTCTTTCTCGTAAACTGTAAACTTATTTTAAAATCTTCAATCAAAAGCAAATACTGTGTAAATGTGTTAGTAGTGAAGTGTGACAAATTTCAGAGTAAATGAATAAACACTGTTCATCATCCATTGACTACAGGTACTAACATGGTATCAAGTCTGGCTTTTTAGTATTGTCACAAAATTTTTGAGCATTTGCAAATTTTTTGAGGAAATTGCAAGTTCATATATATATATATATATATATATATATATATATATATATATCGACTTATAAACTTTCCCCCCTGCAGGAACAAGGAGTCAAAGTGTGTGTTCTGCTTTACAAAGAGGTGGAGCTTGCACTTGGCATCAATAGCGAGCACAGTAAGAGGACTCTGATGGATATGCATCCAAACATCAAGGTGCGTCAACTTTTGACCCAAATTTATAAATAAGAGAATAAAGCTAGTTTTTAATGTATGTTTTTTTTTTAAATTCTATTCTACAGGTAATGAGACATCCTGACCATGTGTCATCTGCAGTGATCCTTTGGGCTCACCATGAAAAAATGGTGGCCATTGACCAAACTGTAGCCTTTGTCGGGGGAATTGACCTGGCGTTTGGGAGATGGGACAACAGCCAGTATCTGCTCACTGACCTTGACTCAACAGACACTGCTGGAAAAGTGAAAGAGACGGAGTCGCAAGGAGGGACGAATGTAAGACTGTGTCAAGTCTTTTTTTTCTTTTTTTTTGGTGTGGTTTGGCAGTAATCGAGCCTATTGTTCATGATGGTTGCATTCTGTTACCCTTCCTGTTGGCCCTTGCTGACTATGTTCAACAGGAGAATGGTTTGGCTGGTCCAAAACCATCCGAGAATCAAACGCAGGAGGTTGTGGACCTGACAGACAACACTAAACTGTGGTTAGGCAAAGACTACAGCAACTTTATTAGGAAAGACTGGGTCCAGCTGGACAGACCATTTGAAGGTATAGCTCCGCATGGAATCAACACACAGCTCTCTGGCGCTAAAAGAATTCATGTTTTTTTCTGATATTTTCAGATAACATCGACCGTACGAGAGTTCCTCGCATGCCGTGGCGCGACCTGTCGGCAGCTCTTCATGGCAGAGCAGCCAGGGACGTGGCTCGTCACTTCATCCAGCGCTGGAACTTCACGAAGGTCAAATTTGGGCAAAGTTGCTTAAGGGAGTGTTACTTTTTGTAAATGTCAGGATACTTTTGGCCATACAACTACAGGATGTAAAGTTAGAAGTGACGCAGTCATGCTGCAATAGAAATGTTCCCATAAATTTGGAAGGAAAACGTTTTGCTAAACTGAAGACTTTATATTTCGGTAAACTAGCTCCAGAAAGTGTTGTAACACTTGTCTATTAAGTATGTTAAAATCCTCATAATTTTTTTTCTTTGAAAATTGCAGGGAACATAGAAATAACAGTCTGGTTTAGGTGTAAATTAGGCCCATGTCATTGTAATTTTGTATTTAGGGTTCATTTTGAGATTGTGACTGCGATTCACAATGTCAACTAAAGCAGGGTTCATCATTTGCATAATTGTTCGTTTTATTAATTATGCAGTGCACCGAGCTTTTGGATGTTGTTTTTAAGGGGAAGGTCAAAATGACCTGGCTTTTTTTTTATTTGCTGTCTTGGCAGATCTTCAAAATCAAGTACAAGGACGATTTTTACCCTTACCTGCTCCCCAAATCTCATTGTTCTGCTGACAAACTGTCTTTTACGGTGCCTGGATCCAAGAAGGCCAAAGTGCAGGTATAGTATTTTCTCTCATACCTTTAGTCAATGTCGATTGGCAAACAAATCTTAGCAAGCAATATCTTATAAGTCAACGTTTTATTTGATGCTGTAATTTTTCAAGCATTCACACAGCACAGTAATGCCAAAGTTAGTAGAACTTTTGTCGAGGGGGCTCTGCTGCCGCCCCTTTCTGACATGTAACTTTCCATCACTGCCGGGTTCAGTTGTTTTTGCATTGTGGTTCTTAAGCCCTGACAAATCCATACTTTATCCTAAGCATACATTCTCTTCCCCGCATGTGGTGAAGCTTGTTCCCACACTTTGTCAGTTTTATCGGAACAACACCATTTACAGCAGAGTTACTCGGGAACAGTGGTCAGCCTTTCGCGAAACTTAAACGTTGAAGGAAGCCGAAAAGGAAGAAAGGAAAGAAATGCCGACTGATCTGTTCCATGTTCAACGGGATTTGCTGTGCATGTAGTTCATGGCAAGCCTTTTTCAGTAACACTTCCGTTATACATTGACGGTACAAGAGCCGTGTAAAGCAGGTAGCAAGAAAAGAAAAGGCCGTTGAGCACGTGTCAGTTACTTATTGTGCTGTGGTTATTTGCCTGTAACTTGAACCCCGTCATGCACCAGCTTCCCTACGACTACAGAGTCCAGGTTTCGGGTAATGTTTCAACTGTTTTCAGGACTCAATAACCTTGAGCCGGGGCTGCAATTTATTTGCTTCCTGGTTTGTACACCTGGCAAGACGAAATAACAACGTTATGCATCTTAATATAAAAGCACATCCAGTTTCCATCGGTTTAGATCATGGGATGCTCTCACCGTTTAACGGTTCTAATCATCCGGAAGAAAATATGTTGTCTAGTAATGAGCATCACCTTTGGGTCTCTTAACTGAATTATTGCGAAATTACGACGCTTACGCACCATTTTTTCCAGGTGTTACGTTCTGCGGATCGGTGGTCTACTGGCACTTGTGAGAACTCAATCCTCAGTGCCTACATCCATACCATTGAGAACAGCCAGCACTACATTTACATCGAGGTAACAAACGCATGTCTTGTAATCGGTGACTGAACACAGCAGCATGCATCGCAGTGTTCCCGTGACATGTTAAAAACCAGTACAGCCTATGCAAAAGGTAAAGTGGCCTTTGGAAGTGGGAGTGTTTGGTGCTGGTTTACAAAGCAACATTGTTCTTTCCCCTTAATTTCATGTTAGTGACAGACTGTGTGAGTCCAACATTGACGTTGTATGAAAGTACGAATGCCACCGCGCCAGCCAGCAAGCTACCGGTTTTAGTCTTTGCTTCACACTGAGCCGCCATCTGTTTTTTGCTACCATTAGAACCAGTTCTTCATCAGCTGCGCCGATGGCAAGACGGTCCACAATGGAATCGGCGATGCCATTGTGAACCGAATCCTCCGTGCTTACAGGTCCGCCCGCTGTAACGCCTTGTATTTTGATAGAAAACAAAGCATATAAGAACGTATGTTGAATAATTATTCTGTCAATGTTTTTACAAATGAAGCACCTAAAACTCCATAAAATGCACCAAAAAGTGGATACATAGAATTTTAATCGAATAAAAGATAAGAGCACCAACTCGTTGTTTTTCTTACAGAGAGCAGAAGAAATATCGGGTGTTTGTGGTGATCCCACTTTTGCCTGGATTTGAGGGAGACATCAGTACCGGAGGGGGAAATGCGATCCAAGCCATTCTTCACTTCACTTACAGGTAAGAGCCTTTTTCATCTCTTCTTTTATCTCATATTCTGCACTCAGCCCGTTCACAGGCACGTCTGTTTTCAGAATTTCTGATTCCTCCCGAGATGTTTTTATCCTACATGGTTGATATTTATTGAAGTTTGTCATTCACGACAACAACAAGCTTCAGTCTGCAAATGCTGAGACATCAAACGCCCAGTTATCCAGTAGTGTGGGACCTATATTTAGCCGTACTAAAGTAGCAGATGCTTATTTAATAAGATTGATATATACCGTATGATGCCTGTGCTGCTGTAATCGCCCTGTAAACCTGATCCATGCTCGGAAAGGGCCAAAAATTCAGATTTAGCGCCCAGTCAATTAAAAGAGGACATTAAAAATCCAGTTTGAAATGATTCTTTGTGTCATAGGACTATATGTCGGGGGGAACAATCCATCCTGTCAAGACTCAGTGAAAGTGAGTGTTTTTTTATTTTGTCTTCTTGTGTTCCAATTTCTTCAATCCATCTCAGATCATTAAACTGCACCTGTCCGCTTGTAACCTCTCTCTCTCTCTTTCTTTTGTGTTGCCCCTTTAAACAAAGGCACTGCTTTTAGGTATCTGCCCAGTCTGTCTCCATTTTCATTCTTCGCCTGCTTGTCATTCATTCTAAATACAGTATGTATTCAAGCGGGAAGTTGTCCGAGCGTGATGCCAAATAAGTCAATGCGATTCTGTTGTGCTTCCCAGTGGAGGACAAGTGGACAGAGTACATCACAGTCTGTGGCCTGAGAACAAAAGCGGAGCTCTCCCAGTCGCCTGTCACTGAGCTCATCTATGTTCACAGCAAGACCCTCATCGCAGATGACCGCTGCTACATAATAGGTGAGTCACCACCTTCTAGTTCAAAGTCAGAGCTTCATTTTGACCTTTGTGTCATTGCCTTAATTGGATAGGTAGAAATCGCCTGACTGCATATGACTGCCGAGTGATGATGCCACTGAGTAAAAATGACAAAGAAACGGATGAGGGTCTGTCATATTGGATAATAGATCCTTTTTTTTTTTTAAAAACAAACTTAAATACTCCAGTCTAGATAACATGCTTATTTTTACTTTTTTAATTTGATGAAATCCCCGTGCTTACAGAACACGAAAATAAGTATAGCATATGGTGATGGTTGCTACCTGTTCATGAGTCATACTTAAATGAAACGACTGATTTCTCAGTAAATGCTTGTACACCCCATTTTGATCCCAGGATCAGCCAACATCAATGATCGCAGCATGCTGGGGAGCCGGGACAGTGAGTTGGCAGTGTTTGTGGAAGATGAAGAGAGGATCCCGTCCATCATGGGAGGGGAGGAGTACGAAGCAGGACCCCTTACACTTGCTCTGCGCAAAGAGTGCTTCAGGTCAGGGGACACAATGTGATCCTCCAAAATACCGACTGACTGGCTTCACTCCCGTAGCTTTGGAGTTTTATCTTAAATCGAATTGTAACACTTGATGACAAAATTTACTCTTAGTTCCTATTTCCCTTACCTGTGTTTCTCTTCTTTTTAGTGTTCTTGTTGGAGCTGCTTCAAATCCCAGCCTCAATATTGATGATCCAATCAGTGATGACTTGTTCTTCTTGGTGTGGAATTCTGCTGCCAAAATGAATGCCACGATTTACAACAAGGTATCCACAGATGTTTTATGATGAAAACTGTCCTGTGGATGACGACGAGACTTCTGTGCTATGTTCTACAATCATCATAATGATTTAATTGTATCTCACGTCTCACTCTTTTAACCTTCTCTGACCATCTATGCTGCCGGGGGTACAGGTTTTCGGCTGCCTACCTTGTAATTCTGTCCACAATATGCAAGAGCTGAAGGAGTACACCAGCAAGGAGCGCCTGACTGACACAGACCCCGAAAAGGCCAGGGAGGAGCTCAAGGCAGTCCAAGGACTGTTGGTCCACTTCCCTTTGAAGTTCTTGTGTGAAGAGAACCTGCTGCCTCCACTGAGCACCAGAGAAGGCATAGCCCCTGTCTGGCTGTGGACATAGCTGCAGAACAGCCCATTCACATTTCGAGGTAACAGTTGAGGAATCAGTTACGGCTAACTTTACGTACAATAGACTCATAGTAAATGTCGGCAGCCATGGCAATTTACTGGTGAGGAAAATCCAACTTTGTCACCTTGTTCACATTGACCACTGAAATGTAGATTTGATCACTGACACGATGTGAGACTATTTGATTGACATTGGCCAGTTGTTTTTTTTTCTTAAAGCATCCGCTTTACTATGTTCACAATTCATCTCACATGATTTGAGTACAAAGTGTACTGTACATTTATTGGAGCATTTTTTTTTTCTTTAGATAGTTGGGTCTTCCCTGTTTTTTTCTCTGTGTCTCACTCTCCCTCCGAGGCTTCACCTCTCACTACATTACCAGCAAATCTGTCAGAAAATCTGTGGTTGTTATGGAGATGGATACAAAGAAATGGCAGGCTATTAGCTGAGAGAAAGACTGGGTGATACAAGTGGGAATAAGATGTGGCCACTTATGCAAGTGCAATTCGTGTTTTAAATGTTTTCATTCCGATGTTTGCGGATTTACTGTTACTTGTTTTAATGGGGTATCCAAGTCCAAAAATTTCTCTTTAATAATATTTTCTATGCAGTCCCACTAGCCTAAACATGGTATTCTGATTAATATTGCATTTGTGGAATATGAATCAAGCGGAAAAATCCACCCGTGGGGCTGTTTTAAAAATAGCCCAGTAATAGGACATTGTGATTTTCTAGGAATGTTTAAAAGTGATCATTTAAAAATGGGACTGGACTATTAAGAGAGATTTATTAAAATTGTGCTGCAAATGTATTTAGCTCACCCTTCATCACAAAAGAGTCTCAAAGAGCCTCACAAGCCCACAGTTGACAAAAATGCTTTCTTCATATTCCACAAACACAATTCTAGTCTGTTTAGACTAGTGGGGGGTGGATAGAACATATTATTGTCATGAAAATTTTGACTTGACTTCCCTTTACGGCACCATAGCCACTACATAAATTGTTGGATTCGTCTTTGACATTCCATCATCTTCTTCACTCTGACTAAAAAAAAAAAAAGAAATGAATCGTGGATGTTTGATTTCTTGAGCCACTTGATTCCCATTTGGACTCTACAATTCTGTGTCCATCTGCCTTCCACGTTATCTGTGTACACTACTGAGTAGTCGTTGTAGAGTTTCAATGGTGTCGTCATATAACCACAAAACAGTTGCAATATAGTATGTCACATTTACCATAACACTGCTCTAAATAGTCTTTGTAAGTAATGTATTTAACCTTTTGATTTCTGTAGTGAAACGCGGGGCAGCAGAAACGTGCTATAAAAATGTAAGTCTAGCCAGTTAAAGCTTGTTATAGCCATGTCATTTTTAGACTGTCGTTGACCAATCTAGAAAAGTCTTGCGGCTGAACAAATGCAGCAAGAAAACATTCCAGTTGCTGATTTAGAAACACTCTAGTACTTCCAGAGGGTGCACTCAATGATGCTTCCTGTTTGCAGACAAATTGTGCTTGTTGTGATGGATTTTAAGTCTCTATTATCATTAGATGTGTCTCATCTTCTCCACTGTATGAAAATGTATATCCCTATTTTTTTTAAATATACACTATGTCTGTCAGTGATCCCCAACCTTTAGTGAGCCATGGTACATATTTTAAGTTTGAAAAATTGCACGGCACACCACCAAACAAAATTGTCATAAAAAGAGGATACATCTGTCAATTTCATACTTTTTGCCATCTCATAGAAGATCAGTTATTTGCTCTTTCTGTCACTATAAGTTGCTGGCATAGATAGACAGACAAAGATACATTATTCATTCTTAATAAATAATTTTCTCACCAATTAAGTTGGATAATTTCCCGCAGCACACCGTGAGAACTCTCACGGCACACTGGTTGGGAATCACTGAAGTCGATGATTCACACCTTTATACTCCACTCCATTGTTAATAATGTCCACCCAAAACATGTCTGCGTTTGAGCCTCGTGCTAGGCTACTTCTCACTGTTATTGTCAAGCAGATTAAGGTAGCATATTACCATAATTTCCTCATTTAACTGTACAATAAGTGTCTGCAAAAAGATGGCTATGTATCTATTTGCTATACGAAATTGATGTGCACAAGCCTCTAACAAAACCAGCAATATTGGACAGACTACAATATGAAGTGCCTGAATCATTACCACCATAAACACAAGCCAACACCCACGGGTGTCATTCTTTGTGAAGCACCTCAGAAGTGCTGCTTTTGTTGGGTACAACGGGTTTACTTACATCTTCCTCATACATGGCTGTGATATATATTGACAAGTGACCTTCTCAAATGTTTTCTACAATGATTATTTTATTGCACTAACCAAAACTTTTCACTACCAGATTTCACAAATGTATTACTATTGTGCTTTTCTCATCATATTCTTTATGAATGTACGTCTCTGTATTGGTTATTCCTGCCTAATGAATTGTCACTCATGCTCAGGGTTTAGTATACTGTATAGACACACACACACACACACACACACACACACAGACAGACACAAAAAGATAGGCCTGCTTTAATTGGCGACACTAAGGGAGGCAAAATTGAGCAAATGCAACAGAAAAATGGGTGATGCCTTGGTAGCTGAATAAAATTTCTCTGTGCTTGTGTTTGAAACTAATTGTGTTTTTCAACCCAGTGATTCCCAGCCACTGTTAAGATAAGTGCGTCGTGATAGTTCATTAGTTGAAAATTGTTTATTTACTGCAAAAAAAAAATATATATATCTACTGATCTATCCGTGCCTGTGACATATAGTGACAGGTAGAGCAATTTAATCCGGTTCCACTACTTCCATCACTATTTCAGCATTGTATTTACTTTTTTGACATTTTAGTTTCGTGGCGTGCCATATATTTTTTAAATATAATAAATGTGTCTTTGCTCGATAAAAGTTGGAAATACTGTTCGAATGGAATGATTACCAGGGTTACAGTAGTTTGGGATTTTTCATTCTCGTAAATTTTTATCTAGTTTTGTTTATTCACTTGACTCAGGTTTAATTGGATGTTAGAGCAGGTTTCGTTTTCATGAAGTATAATAAGTTTTGTGGTTACAAGCTAGCTTGCCATCAGGTGTACCATGCGATATTGTCCAATTTCACTTAATTGGTCCAAAACTATTTTACGATTTATGCATACCAAGCTGTTAATCTTTGCTCCTCTATCTATACCAGCGACATGTAGTGACAGGCACATCAAGGAAATGCGCCCGTGTAAAAAAAAAAAGGGACTCTCTTATTTTGGTGATGTGCTGTGATTTATTTTTTAAAAATATGGGCCTTCGCGCGATAAAGGTTGAGAAACATCGAAAAGTCATCCAACCGTAGAGAAATATGACCATGTGTCATGATGACGTCACGTTGCATTGCGCTCGTTTGTTCCTGGTAGCTCACCGTAGCCACCCACAGAAACGCAAACACTTGAAGAGTTTCGTCCGCAGCCAATCATCGACACAATCTCAGAAATGCCCAGGCTGAACTGCAAGTACAGAGGCTCGGCGTGGGAGGAGGCGCTTGGAAGCGAAACACGGCGAAATAATAACAAGTTTGCCCGTCAGACGGTGTTTTGAGGCTACGTACGATATACCGCAGCGTTGGATTTGGCAGTACCGAGTGGTCCAGTCTGGATGGTGGAGACGAAGGCGACGCGCAACTTTAAAGAGTCGAGGGCCCGGTCTACATTGAGTGTTGCGGGGGCTGGTCCAGAACACACCGCCCGCCTGCTAGTCTGTGTTTTTCCGGAAAGGTTGGCATCGCTGGGCGCGACTGTCAACACAGAAAATGAAAGAAGGAAAGTTTATTACAGAAAAGACTGTTTAGCCTGCTGTCTTAGCCGCATTAGCTAAAGTCAAAGCTGATTTGATAGCACCCACCTGTCTCCTCGGAGCGACAATTTTTGGGTATTTCGGAAGTTTAACAACCGCAAACGCATTGAGAGACATTTGCAACAATACCCTCGGGGATATTTACTAAAGGATAATGCTGACAATTTGATAGGCGGTTGTGGTGCGGTGCTGACGGACTCGGGCGCCATCACATCATTGCGTTCGTAAAATAAAAACGCTGCGTATTTTGGCTTTTTTTTCGTGATACTTCGTCATCAAGAACAAAACAGTGGTGCCATTTTTTTCCTCTACTCGCGAAATGCCTCCCATGACAACGCTCCTGATATGTCAGTAAGAATCGAAGACGTTTTGATAAAATGAACGCAGCAAGGTGTTCGACAGTGGGGGTGCACTGCTTGGAAAAGCTGGTCGTTCTTCGAAGAGCGCCTATGGCCGTTTTACAGTAAAAGTTTGTTGAAATATATGTCGTTACGTTGGCCGTGGTTTAGCTCGACGTGAACTATTATTTTATTTGACAAGACGACGTTCCGAGGTGTCGCCGAGAGTTGCCTCGAGCTAGCCAGCTGCGTGCTCGAAACTGCGATGTGTTTGATCCTTTGAGCGCTGCAACGATTTCAGCAAACTGGACTGCCGATTGTGGACATTTAACATCACCAAAGGTGCCATCTTCACACCCTCAAAGTGCTCCTTGGGAAAAATCTGGCTAACTTGTCAAGCTAACGTTGCAAGTTTGGCCAGCCATGTCTGAAAACGCCCCCACGCGAAGCCTGGATGACATCGACCTGGCAGCTCTGAGGGTGAGTACACCAGTACTGGACTGTTAGCGTTTATAGACTCCTGCTGCACTATATCCGTGATCGAGGTTATTGCAGAGCACAACGTTCAAGTGTGTAAGGAACTGCTGATTTATGGCACAAGCGCGACCCATACACACCTACGCATCAAAGTTGAGGCTAGCATCACCCTATGTCCGGCCTGGTGCTTTTAGTTGCAACAGGCGACTGCAGCGTTGCCTAAAACTATTGACTCAAGGCATGCAGATTACGTATGCGCTGTAGACTAGTGTTTACAACTTTTATCGCGACAAAGTACATATTTTACATTCGAAAAAAATATCGCAGCGTATCAGCAAACAAAAATGTCAAGAATAGTATACATACTTAAATAAAGAATGTTTGCATAGGTATGTTGCTGAGTGTTCCAGGAGGGTTGTTATTGCTTGTAGTGAAAAAAATACCAAAGACATCAACGACTAGTCAGCGTCAGATCGATTTGAATCACATTAGTGTCAACTTAAAAAAAATCTGAAGTCTTGCAAGCACTGGTATCATCAGAACGAACTATGTATCAGTCCCATGCTGAGAGAATCATGCATTGCCACACATTGCAATTCACTCTGTCATTCTGCAAAAAAAAGGCGTTGTTTTGAAATGCACAATCACTTAGCCATTTCTCAGGTGATTATGGTAGCTGATGCTCATATTTGCATGCCAAAGATAGCAATTACTTGAGTTTATTACACATGCAATTAGGTTGTTGTGATGTAATTCTCTAGTGGGCATATTTGCATTGTATCTGGGGATTTCAGTATTGTGCTTTACTGTAATGTAATAACCAGCATAATAGTCATGACACACACATAGTATTCAAATTATCAGTGCACACTATTAGCTACATTGCCTTGTTCTCTGCCTTTTTAAATTTCCATTACAACTCATAATTTTAAATGATTAAATGAATGGTATTAGAGCTCAGACTCGCACCCAAAATTCGCCTTTGATATTTGTTTACTGTTTAATCAGCGAGTCCCAATTCAACTTGAATGGGTTTCTAACTTTTCTTTGGCTGAAAAATACATTGGCTTTATCTGATCTATGCTATCCAAAGCGCTTTACCAATCCCTTTATTAATTTTTTAAAAACATGAGTGTGCACTGACACGCAAACACACCCATGTCAACCCATGGAAATGTTTTCCTTTTTAGTTTAAAATAACTTATTTCAGCCTCCAGGATCCTTCGTACATAGGCCTACGGTAGCACTCAGGGACTTCTTTTGGACCAAATCCATCCGCTTGCATTCTACCAGCTGCGAGCTAGCACTAATCTAACCTGGGTATATTCGTATTTTGTCTTCCTTGCTTGTACAGGGTCAGATGCCATCAGCGAGTGAACAAAAGTGTTGATACACTACCTTGCTGAACTTTATCGACTGACTGCTTAACAGTTGAATTTAATGCTCCAGTGCACTTTTACACATGACATGCACTGCCAATCGTAGCAACTCAGAGACAAACAACACTGTAAACTACGCACCAGTTAGCCTTATTGTTTTGGCTTAACCCGTTCTGACTGGAATCACAACATTCTGATTCAGCATTTGTTTTTAACAGCACATTTGCGTCTATATTCCAGTCGCCACTGATCCTTGTACTCCAATCAAAGCTTTCGTGAATGAAATCAGTTTTCCTCAGTTCTGAACTGATTGGTGGCGGCTGTCTCAAAGGATATGCTGCATCTGTTACAGTTAGTGTGAAGCTGCACTTTTGTGATTTGGGTCAGCCACAATATTTTTTGGGAAGCACACTACAGAAGGAGCAACAGTGACTCCTAAATTAAAAATATTTATTTTGTTCTTTTTCACATGCTGGCCAAAATATGCTGCCACAACATCCAGCATGTGAACATGTTATACATGTGACTATGTGAAATACCTACTCAGGTTCGAAATATTTCTTGAAGTGGGAAATGCGAGGGGGAAATTAATAATGTGACATAATTTTGCGTAACTTTTTTGATTGCAGTATGCAAAATGGTGTGAGCTGTCAGTGACGATTGATCACTCTGCCTGTTAGCTAGCGAATCACTGCATGAAATCGAAATAGACTATGAGAGTATACAAAAGCCACGAAAATGTCATTATGAGCACATTAAGCTCAGCAAAACGTTAATATTTACTTAGACTTCATCCTGCTTGATTATGAGAGTGATGACCATTGTTCTTGCTATGTGTGCATTTTATTTCATGAAACCTTGACTGTGGATCTTATGGCAAAGAATGTGTGTGCACACATGACCGGCCTCTTTTCATTGAGGTGTTATCACCACGGCCACCCCACTGAATCTATTCCGGCTCCGCCCCTGAATATGACTGCATGTTCAACACTGCGACGAGTGATGTCGTTTGTCATGATTTGAGTCAGCAGACTTGTAGCTCGCACCTTCGGAGAGCCATCGGATTTAACGCTTCCCTGCATTTTTGCAGTCATTGCCTACCATTTGTTTGGCACTGTCTGTGCTTCCAGCGCTGCTCCTTGAGCAGAACTGTACCCCTCCTCTTCTATCACTCCATTCCTCTCATCCTACTCTCTGTGCTGGACGTGGGTGACTGGCGCCTCTGCCTTCGCCCACCCACACAGTCATTACATTATTTTCCTCTATTCCTCTATGTGTCTTTCTCCTCTACCTAGTATGGTTCCACTTCTTCAGTCGGCATTGTACCTACCATACTTTCATCAGTCAGGAATGTTTGTTGGAGTTATATGTCCTGCTATCTATGGAAGTATGCATCTTATTTTTCCCAGGACCGTTTCCTCTCTCAGGAGAAATTTCTCTCTGTGTTGTTGGAAGCAGAAACGCCGCCATTGGAAACGCATGAAAGCCGGAAGGGTCATGCATTACGTTCGAAACCCAAAGCAGCAGTCTCACCACCCACACATCTTCACGCCATATTGAAATAGCATAAAAGTGAATCTGCTTGTCACTTCTCCTCCGTCTCCCTCGGGAGAGAGTTACGCATTGAATTCGGAACGAGATACTCATTTGTGGCGCGTAAATTTGTTGTCAGCGAAACTTTGAATGAACAAATCAAGAAAATCACCAATGGCTGCGTCCGTGTTAGCATCCATATTTGTGCTGTCAATATTTAGTATACGTGCTGTCACTGCTGCCCGCTATTTAAAGCTTGTGTGAAGCTATGGAGTTTGTCAGTGGGTTGGCAAGGAAATTGCGATCAAACGATTTAGATGTAAATGAAATGCGCTGTGAATTTCAAGACCGTTACTGATGTTTAAAATAACAGTTTGGCCAATTGCTAAAGCCGATCAGGCTTTTTGCGATCAAAGGGAGAAACATTCGCTTCACGGTTAGTAGTGAATCTCAACTTGTTAGGCTAAAGACGCTGTGGTGTAAACGGTCATCTGATTAAAAGCAGCTAAAAATATTCCACTGGTGGTGAATAGTTTCTGTCATGGGTGACCGTGATAGATTATTTGAAAGATTGAAATAGTCATTTTCATTTTTAAAAAATAACAAATATACAAACAAGCAGCTGTTTTGTCACATCGAAGGTACAAACCTCACGGTATGCTCTACAATACTGTGGACGAATCATTTTTATTTCATTTGGAAGAAGACAAGTTACACGTTTGTTCACAATTTAAAATGTCTTGCTTGATGTTTTAAAATTCATCTCACCTACCAAGCATAACAAACCATGAAAAGTTTAATCGCATCTAATATTCACTATGGTATTGACTTGAATCACCCTTTTAAGCGACAAGCAACAAATGTAGCAACCTTTTATAATTGGGGACATCTCGAGACTCTGGGATTCCCTTCAGAGAAAGGGACTTTCATCCTTCTGCATCCAGAATTTAAATGAATGGAGCTTGTGCAAAGTTATTTACCCATTGGCCATTTTATATCGCTCGCCGACTCATTTTCGGAAATAGGCAGATGACAAAAGATGTTCTTGTTTGTTTAATTTCATAGTCAATGGTTAGGCAAGCACTCCGGAGACCCAACTCGATGCATACAAGCAATTATAAATCCAATTTTCCATAGAATGCCACATTTAATGAAACAGCCACACTAAAATTAAATGCAAAGTAATAATAAAGGAGTTATGTATTCTAGTTGATCAATAGAATTGTGGAGAGCAGGTTTGAATTTGTGACTGGAATTGTTCCGTCGTGTTTTTGTACAGGTGCTGCTTTGTGCTCACAAGAGTGAAGCCATATTTCGCAGTCATGATTGAAACATAACCAATCAGTGACTCCTGTATGGGATGATATAATGATGTCACTACATTGTCAACAAATCTTATACGCAACAAATTTGAATCCAATATTTCACCTGGCTCTTTCGATGCTAAGAAGCTTGCGCTGACGTGTGCACTCCAAACGTGTCTCAGTGTCTTCACATTTCTGCAAGCTGTGTGACCTGTGAATGTTTTTGTGCATTCCGCAGGATCCTGCAGGAATTTTCGAGCTGGTTGAGGTGGTCGGCAATGGGACATATGGGCAGGTATACAAGGTGAGGGCTCATGTAGAAACATTTTTTGTTCGAGGTGACGAGCACAATAACTCAAGTTCATGGTGTTGGGAAAAAAAGTGTCATACATGGTGAACGTTTGAGAAATCAATTCCCATTCTGGCTCCCAGCTTGCATTAATGTTTGAGTTTCAGTTTCTTGTATTCCGCGTCTGTAAAATGTAAGCCCCTAATTGTGAAATGCAAAATTGGCTTTGGCAGTAAGCGACGACACCACTGCTGATAAAGCAGAATTATTTCCACAGTGATTATTTACACTTAATTGGCTATGTCTTGGGAAAAAATTGCAATGCTTGAAATGTAATATCTCATTGTGTTGTACAAATCAGGGCCGCCATGTTAAGACGGGCCAGCTAGCGGCCATCAAGGTGATGGATGTTACAGAAGAGGAAGAGGAGGAGATCAAAGCTGAAATCAACATGCTGAAAAAATACAGCCACCACCGCAACATAGCCACATATTACGGTGCCTTCGTCAAGAAGAGCCCACCAGGACACGATGACCAGCTTTGGGTCTGTTGTTTATTATTTGCACGAGGTTGTGATTGGCGCACGCTAAATAATGTTTGTGTATATCAACAGTTGGTGATGGAGTTCTGCGGGGCTGGCTCGGTGACTGATTTGGTGAAAAACACAAAGGGCAGCTCTCTGAAGGAGGACTGGATAGCGTACATCTGCAGGGAAATCCTAAGGGTGAGAAATAACGATCACGCCAGTCGAGCCGCCGCAAACAGGTGGTTACACTCTGCACCATCATTTGACTGCTTTATCTCTTGGAGTGGGAATCACAGACCGACTTGCAATGAAATATTGTTTAATATACCCACACTCACGTATACAGGGCTTAACAACTTTATTCGACCACCTGTCACTATTTGTCTTAGAAACCATCCAGCATCAGGAAGTGATTTTTTTTTTTTTTAATTTAAAAATAGATTTGCAGACTTCATTTTTAGTGAGCTGTCAACATTTTACCATTGTAATGTACCATATTTTCCACTCTATAAGGCATACCTAAAAGCATTCAATTTTATCAAAAGGCGACTGTGGGCCTTATAATCCGGTGCGCCTTATGTATGGATCAATATTCAGATTTCTTGGATGTAGCATTTTAAATGTTCTCTCAAGCACTTTGTTTACAGCTGCAGCGGTTGTGAAAGCTCGATATAAATAAAGCTGTATTGTATTGTATTCCCTTTAGCGTAGCTCCATTTAGTGGAGGCATAACGCAACCGCAGCCACAATTGTTGTTTATATGCGCCTTATAATGCGGTGCGCCCTATGTATGAAAACAGGTTTAAAATGGGCCATTCATTGAAGGTGCGCCTTATAGTGCGGAAAATACGGTAATTAAGGATAAGCATTTTGGAAGATGAATGAATGTCCTGATAGATGCAGAAATTTTTTTTTTCAAATACCATCACTGTAAATGCAAATAAACCACTTGGAATACAAGGATTAAAAAAAAAAAAAGCAGTAGAATTTTGAAGTGTTTAAATGCATCACTTGGTTGTACCAATATTTTGTCCTATTCCTCTGTCCTATTTCTCTGTGTCCAGGGCCTTTCCCACCTTCACGCCCATAAAGTCATCCATCGAGATATCAAGGGCCAGAATGTTCTTCTCACAGAGAACGCAGAGGTCAAACTTGGTACGCTTGAAAGTGCTTCGCCGATGTATTCAGCATCTCCCAAATAATGATTTCAGTTAAAAAAAAAAAAAAGAATGGGATATTTTTTTTCTGTGAAGGTTTTTGCATATTTCTAGCTTTGCGTCCAAACCTTGCATTTGCAAAACCATCACTTTCCAGAAAACCAAACAACCAGCATGTTTGTTGAGCCATCAACATTGTCAAGGACAGTAATCCATTTTTCAATACATAATCTTGTAACGTGGAGTGCTAGGCCCCTTTCGGGTTCCTGAAATCTTTCAAAATGATCTTCTCCATTTCATCATTCATAATAAAATGCCCCTGTATTCTCAAAGTCAATAAATATATTTGTCAATGATCAAAAATATTTAGTGACTGAAAATTGCATTGGCTCTTTCGGAAAATGAGCAAAAACAGCACTGCTTAATCATTTGCAATTTAACTGAGTATATCCCCAATATGTTTCACCTCCTGTGTCCAGTTGATTTTGGAGTTAGTGCTCAGTTGGACAGGACTGTGGGGCGTCGAAACACCTTCATTGGTACGCCTTACTGGATGGCGCCGGAAGTCATTGCCTGCGATGAGAACCCCGACTCGACCTACGACTACAGGGTAACAACAGCTCTGTAGCGTGTGTGTGCGCGCTTGTATGAGGGTTTGAAAGCCACAGGCTGAAGTGTCATCCTGGTTCTTTTCCAGAGTGACATCTGGTCCTTGGGAATCACCGCCATTGAAATGGCCGAAGGAGCCCCACGTAAGTCAAAGTCATTGATTAATTGGTGCGCATTCACACTTTACCGATGTGGTTGAGTCACGAGGAGATCCGTCGGCTCACTCTGGAAGCGCTCCATGAATGAGTCTTGCGTATGCAGTTTTGTTGGTCTTCAGATGGACAGCTGACTCACCGTAATCAAGCAAATGCAGTCGTGAGCTGGCACGGCGCCTGCGGAGGCTGATTGCACAGATCTATCCGGTCTGCTTTGCGGGGAGTGCTTGCTTGTCCTATTAATCACAGATTTGGTTCAAATTGTTCATGTCCAATCGTGTTCACGGTAAGAGTGAATTACTCTACCCATCTAATTTTGAGGATGTCCTACCTGATCTCAAAGTAAACATTCTACGCATATTTGAGCACAATTTTAGAAGCCGGATACCTTATTTGGGAAAAGTGTTCGATCAGCCGGATTTTGTACTACTACTTTCACAACACAAGAATATTGGATTCAAAAAAAAAAAAGTATTAATTAAAATTTATTATTTTTAGTTGGAGGAGAGACAGAAAGCGCTCCTCAAGAGTGAAGGTTACAACACTGGTTTTGTCACACAACCTGTATTTATTTTTATTAACTACGTAATCGCAAGAATGTTGATTTGGAAACTGTAGAATGGCAAGCGGACACTTGTTTTCAGAAGTTGTTAAAACTGGGACTGCAGCTCAGTTTAGCATGAGTTGAAATCGTTTTCCAAAGCCATAGCTTTCAAGGGCACAGCAATGAAGGGCGAAAAGAAGTCGCCTGTCTCTTTGTGCACGAAGGCATGTATCTTGCACAAACTACTGTCCAATTTGTAGTTGGTTTGTGGGAATTTTATCATGTAAGAATCTTGTACTGGCTCTCGCTGTCCATACGGTTGTCTTCAAGTACTTTGTCGGGTGTATGGAATCTAAAACATTTAAATACACAGTATAACAAAAACGGCATGTCATCTGACATCAGCGCTTACTGTGCTGAAACCCAGTCCTGTGTACTACAGTATTAGCGGCCCACATCCCTGAGCTTTGATGTGGCCCATTTAATTATGTAATTGAATGCTTCCTTTCGTGTAGAGCTCTTGCCATCTTGCAGCAAGTGTTTTTCCAAAAGGCAGCCTCACAATAGCGTCTACATTCAGTACGGTGAAACTTGAAAGCTAACCAGTCAGGTTTAGCAACCTACCTACGCTGGGAACAACATGACTCATGGCCCTTGCTCTTAGATTCAGTATAAAAATAAGCCCGAGGCTTTGGGAAAGATTGGACGACGCCAGCTGTGTCTATGTTTGAGGATACAAAGACTCGTTGCATTGATTGCTGGTATTATTTTTCTAAGTCGCTGTACGCTTGAAAATGTGACATTGTCTAGCATGGCAAATCAAATAATTTTTGGATAATTGATGATGGTTTGGGGATTATGTAATAGAGGATCCCAACTAAATGTTGTCGTTTCTTCCCTGTAGCACTGTGTGACATGCATCCAATGAGAGCGCTCTTCCTGATTCCCAGGAATCCCCCTCCGAAACTTAAATCAAAAAAGTGGTGAGTGAAATGCTCTTGTTTCCATTTTTAAGTCAGCATGTTGTACCAGACACCAGGGAAAATGAAAAAAAACAAAGTTGTCTAGACATTCAGTATCAAGGGAACACTATACTCAGATTTTTTTAATATACATTAAAAAATACTGATTGATTATTAAGAGCAACATTCATTGTATGTTATGTAATAATTCGGTGAGCTTCATGGTTATAAAATGGTCGGAATGTAAGTGGAAAATGCCTTGTTGCTTCATGCTAATCAATCTGTGGAATGTTTCTGCCTAAAAAAAAAACCAAACATCCTGCATGGTCTAAATTTAACTGCCTTTTTTTTTTTTTTTTTTTTTTTTTTTAATCTTGTTTTGATTTCAAGCCCCTCTCCAAAAGTAACGAATTTACAAGATTTACTATGCTAGATGATTGGTGCATTTGTGCTCTGGGCATGAACGAGGCAGCTGGCAATGGATCCGAACCGCTTAGCTCTCACAAACTCCCCCTTTCTCCCAGGTCCAAGAAATTTATCGACTTTATTGAGGCCTGCCTTGTGAAGACGTATCCCAGCCGACCATCCACAGAGCAGCTGCTCAAGCACTCCTTCATCAGGGACCAGCCTACTGAGCGCCAGGTCCGGATTCAACTGAAGGACCACATTGACCGTACGCGCAAAAAAAGGGGAGAGAAAGGTCAGTCGATAAAATGGGGAACTGCTGAGGTGACCTGACCGTCATAGTGACAGTCTTGCATCATTGACCCTTTTCCTAATTTTCATCACAGAGGAGACAGAGTATGAGTACAGCGGTAGTGATGAAGATGATGAAAATCGAAGCGACGACAGAGAGTCAAGGTATTCTGTGTGATTTTGGTGTGGGCATTTGAAGAATTGCTGAACATTGTTCTTATGCAAGATCACTCGCATAAGAACATTCGATCCATCGTGATTCAATATTATTCCATCCCTGCAAAAAACCCTAAAATTGTCTCATTCACGCATTCATACCCGATCCCCAGCTCAATCCTCAATGTGCCGGGAGAGTCCACCCTGCGTCGGGACTTCCAGCGTCTCCAACAGGAGAACAAGGAGCGGTCGGAGGCTCACAAGAGGCAGCAGGCCCAGTTGGCCGCTCAGCGCAGAGACCCCGAGGAGCACAAGAGGCAACTGCTGCATGACAGACAGAAACGCATTGAGGAACAAAAAGAGCAGCGCCGACGACTGGAAGAGGTAATGTCAAGTCAGTTTTATTGACATCACGCCAATTCCCAGCAATGGTTATTTGAAGACACTGTCATATCGTAGAGCAGGTCTGGGACCACGCCCCTCATAACAAAGCATCAAGTGTTGCCTGACTTTTTGAAGCTACGTCTAATGAAAGTCTGCCAGCTAAATGCTAACATTGCTAACAACTAGGATGTACCAATCCTTTCCCCCAAGTACTGGCTAAAAATGATATTTAGCCCTCCAAGTTAAATTCAAATACACCGCTGTAGTAGACCCAAGTGTTTAACATATGTGTTTCTATTATTATTCTTATTATTATTATGTAGCGTTATGCCACTGTCATTCTGCAGTTTGATAATGAGCACTGCACTTAAATCTATGAAAATTTATTCTACATAAAAGTAAACATTTTTTACTGACATTTTTTAAAGACAAACACATCTTAAGGAGAAAATGTAAATGTACTGACTCCAAAGTTCAATACAACTGAACAGTACTTAGGCAGTAATTCTTTCACGAACCATGAGACGGAGCCTGCTGACCCCAAGTGGTATTGGTATCACACTTTGTGAGTTACTGAAATTTGAAAGGGATTTCCTCATTCTTAAATTTGGTAACTGTCACCAACAGGATTTGACCACATTATAAATGAACATATTATGAATTGTGGTAAAAGCAATACTGTAGGGGGAGACTCATTCTCTGAACCTCAAACGATTCTGGCTCCTGTGTTCATATTCAATTGCCAGCAATAAATTTGGCTGCATTTAATTTTCCTTAAGTCAAAAATAAATCGTTTTTCAGGTTTCTAAGATTATGAATGCTGTGTATGTCCTTGCTTGTTATGTCTGCATCGGAATAGTTGACTGTATTCTGTTTTACGTTCCCTTTAGTGCCTTCCCCAACTCTGCGCCAAAATGTGGGCGGGTTTACTCATCAGCAAACCACCCGTTATAAATTCTCCCGTGCAAACGTTGCCCCTGTTTCTTGTCACCCCTGTCTCTCCCAGCAACAGAGAAAGGAGAGAGAGATGGTGAGGCAGCAAGAAAAAGGTCCCCATCGGAGACTCGACGATATGAGACGGGAGGAAGATAGAAGGTTGGCTGAAAGAGAGCAGGTAACCAACCACGGGGGAACAACCGCCACAGTCGGCCAATCGGGGCCAAGTGTGGGCGTGTCCAACAGTAGCACACTGCAAGTGGTGAAATTCCATGAGTAGGTTGCCATAGCAGCAAGGGTTCAAATTAGTGTATTTATTCAGAGATGAGTTTGCTGTGGGTGAGCTCTCTGTGTCTCTTTTTTTTTTCCGTTTCCTGTCTGAAATTGTCTGGTATCAAAACACACTCACAAGCATGGCACGCTTATTTTATGTTAATGTGTGACTGACATTGATCAAGTTCTCTCAACGCTGATCACATATTGAATGCTTCCTTTGATTTTTCTTGATTGAATTCACATTTTGTACTTGTTAAAATTGTTGACTTTTGCCAGTGCACCTTGTGGTTCCTGCAGTTTACTGTATTACATAACTATTCTATGATTGCGTCCTCTCCCCCTCCTCTCATATATTTGATTTCTCCTTTCACACCTTTATTCCTGTCCCCCCGGCCTCTCATCCTCTCCTCAGGAGTTTATAAGACATAAATTAGAAGAAGAGCAGCGGCAGCTAGAAATCCTTCAGCAGCAGCTGCTTCAGGAGCAGGCACTGCTTATGGTAAATAGCCCTCATTATTGGGTTAACATGTTTGGGTCCTACCCACTGATACTTTTCAATGTCACAAATAGATGACACACTCACTTGAAAACCTCGGTAGGTTCACATCGCTCCTAATAAGACCCTACATAAAAGCTTACATTTGCTTACGGACAATTATAAAGATAGTTAAATAAGCACCACTTGGTGTAGTGTCTGAATATTAATGTTGTAAATGCAGAATTTTCCTTCAGGTCTTGATGTTCTGATGTCACATAATGCACGTGAACATAAAGTGGTTGTTGAGTGTATGGGCACTTGTTTTTCCTAAATAAAAACATGTGGGTGTTTGTTTAGAAAGGAAAAAGTACATGCCTCTCAAATTACTACTTTCTCACAATGTACTCGGACCATATGAGGCAGTCGGGTTTTAATCCTATGTTGTGTTCTCACACAATCAAATACCAAGAAGACCGTTCTACAGATAAAAAGTTAAAATATCTAAACCTAAATTCTTCGAACCAGCCCTCATTCAGGATGACTATCAATGAGAGGCTACTTGGCAAGTGCCTCCTTGGTGAATTTATTTTCATTCCTTCAGCATTTCTTGTCTCGCAGAAATGACCAATGAACATCTCAGTAACGCACGTTAGCTTATAACTCACAATTAAAAAAACAAACAAAACAATAAGTTCACTGACTCGCAGTTGCAATATATTGATTGTACCACTTGAAATATAAAGCCAAATAAACCGATTTTTTTTTTCGTCGCCTACCAGAAGATACCAGCATACATACTGGATGCTAAAATAAAAGTCGGGGTATGGGTAGCTAAAAATGTGAAACCTCTGCCAGTCAGTGAAATGAGTTTCTGCTGCTGCCGCTGCTTCTTTGCTGAGCGGTCTCATCTGTGTCCAGCATCATACTGACCAACAGTGCGTTTCTTTGCTTAGGAGTATAAACGTAAGCAGCTGGAGGAGCAGCGTCAGTCCGAGCGGCTGCAGAGGCAGCTTCAACAGGAGCACGCTTACTTGGTGTCTCTGCAGCAACAGCAACAGGAAAAGAAGCCCCAACTCTATCACTATAACAAGAACTTGGAGCCCAACAACAAACCCACATGGGCCCGTGAGGTAGAACCACTCAAAAGGACATATGCCCCAAACCCGTTGTATAATGCTGACCTCACCCTTCGCTCTCCATTTTTGCACCAGGTGGAGGAGCGAAGTAAACTCAACAGACAGGGCTCTCCGAAGATTTGTACCACTGTCTCTGACACCGCCATCCAGTCACGCTCAGACTCAATCAGTCAGTCCGCAGGGGCCCAGTCTGCTCAGACCCCCCCGATGCAGAGACCTGTTGAACCTCAAGGAGGACAGGGCAAGGTTGGTGATTGCAATTGCTTACAAATCTGGCATTTAAGACAACATCTTTCTTCATCTTTTCTGGAACTACTTGACGCCGCACCGCTTCACTTGCTGCCTTTTAACGCAAACCTTTTCCTTCTTTCCTCTAATACTTGGCCTTTTAACTGGGATTGCGCTCTTTTCTGGGTCTGCGCCATCATCCTGTGCTCCCCCTGCCACCCTAAAGTTCCAGATGGCTCACTTGGTTCCACTAAAGCCTTATGCTGCCCCTGTCCCACGCTCCCAGTCTCTCTGCGACCAGCCTACTAAGACCATGTCCGCATTCCCTACCCAGGACCCCTCCCTCACCCCCACGCCCCGACCCATCCACACCAGAGAGCTGGTGCGTCAGAACTCAGACCCCACGTCTGAGACCCCTGCACCACAGGCACACCAAATTAGAGAGGACCGTGGGCCCTGGATCCGCTTGCCAGATGTGGAACTCCCACCCAAGGTGAGATGGAATGACTCCAGTCCCTATGGACTCCATTTCGCAAAGTAACCAAGACCCAAAATCACAAAAAAGACTGTAATACGGTGTTGTATTTTGGTTAAGGGACGGTCAAGTCATTCTCTGTAATATAATTTGCAATGCACTAAAGGAATCTCAACTCTCAGATTCCCCAGAGAACAGCATCGATTGCCACAGCTCTCAACACTAACCTGACCTCCGGCATTAGGCATCCAGTGAGAGCCAGGTACCTTTCACACTTGAATGAATCATTCAAATTGTCAAACTGAATATTCAATATCAAATGCAATAAAAGAAAAAAAAGTGTCGTTTCAGCTCGGTTGGTAAATTTTTCGTAGCTGAGTGACTGCGTCAGACTGCAAAGGTTAAAAAGTGTTAAGTCTGAAAGCAATGATGTTTTCTTCAACTTTTTGACGTAGTATGCAATCAGTACATACAAAAAGAAAGCCAATCATTTTTGTTTGGAAACTTTTATGCTCAACGTGGTCACGATGCTATATCTCACTCGCAGCATTCACGCAGGAAAATGTTTCTAATTACTTTTGTGGGGTTTTTTTGGTGATTGGAGACTAACGGTGTCCTCTGCGCAGTAATCCAGATCTCAGCCGAAACGATCGCTGGGAGAGAGCCGATAGTATTGGCATCATATCTAATCTGCCACAGACGGGCTCATTGGAGAGGCATCGCATCCTCAGTGAGTCCCTCGTTCCTGAAAGATTATCTGTGCTTGATGTTTGATCCAAAAAAAATCATTTCGTCATAACTTCATGACCCGCTATTATTTTCAGGTTCCTCCAAAATGGAGTCACCCGTTCTATCTCATGATAGTCGTCAGAAGCCGGGGGAGTCTCGCACCTCTTCTCGCCCGGGGCGTCCTGCTGTAAGTGATCCACTACTTTTAACCCGGGTGCTATTATAGCTGAATGGTCGCCAGGAAAATAATATGACGCATGTCTTCGGTTTGAGCACCTTTGCCCTGCATATTATTAACCTTTACATGGATATTTTCTCCTAACCTAAGCGTTCCTTTTTGACTTGTTCCCCATCATGCGGTCCCTCTTCCTAAATCCGTGTTGACATTACCTCCATTGTAGAGTTACAAGAGAGCTATAGGAGAGGTCAGTACTGAGTGTGCATGGATGTGTCCTGTGCTCATTCATCTGCATTCACTTGGAGGAAATTTACAAAGATTATGTTGCATGTTTGGTCATACACACAAAGGAAGTTTTGATGTGTTTGGCTTTTCTTACTCTGAACAGTTTAAAAAAAAATGAAATATAGGTTGTGCACGTCATCAAAAAATATCATCAGGTGATCTTCATTTTATGTTAGCATTTGTATATTACTCATGTTATGTATCATACAAATTAACGATGATGTACATTGCAGGATCACGGCCTCTTTGCCAAAGAGCGTGCTGAGGAACAGCCGAGACCCCCGGTCAAGGCCAATGATTATTCTTCCTCCTCGGAGAGTAGTGAGAGTAGTGAGGAGAGCGAAAACGGAGAGGGAGTAGAAGAGGAGGAAAGTCCCACGGATCGGTAATATTGTCATTACACTGGCAACTTGGGCGGAATGGGGAAAAAAAAACTCTTCGCCCTCTTTTGATTCCAGTCACAGGGACGCAGACACCGATTCAGTCAACACCATGGTGGTTCATGAAGACGAGGGCGAGGAGGCAGAAGTAGAGCAAGCTGGAGGTTATGGAGATCAGACCATGTTGGTGCAAAGGGTGAGCCATTTGTATGTGGAATGAAGCTGAAAATGCACCGCGAGCGAAATGAAATAGTCATTGGAATTCACATCAAATACTATTCTAGCTAGCAAAAGACGTATGATCACCCGGGCATTTGATGTAAATATAAAACCAGTTAATACAGAATAGGGTAAGCTGAAACCATGGCCGCTTGCAACGAAATAAAATGTATTACACAGCATCCACCATGTGAGCTACCTCAAAGCAAAGAATGTTGCCCAAATTCATATATCGAAACAAATATCAGAGGAAAAAAAGAGCACATAAATACATATTAAAAGTGTCCCGTATGCTATGTAAACCTGGCTCGTATTTGTTTTGCAAATGAGAGAGCAATATGCTTCTAGCAACAAAAAGTTAGCGCTGCCCGTGCAAATTAGTTTCTACCAAGCATACAAATAATCAATGGGAATGGAAAAAAAAAAATCCAAATACCAAATGAAGAATGCTAGTGGCAGAGAAATGAACATTCAAATCAGAGGCAACTGGCTCTTGTGGACTTCACTGCAGCCAGCCTGCCAGTTGCACGCTACCTCAAAACTTGGGAACATCTGTGGCATGCGTGGCCTTTTAGTGTCGGCTGCCCCTTTTTTATTGTAGCATCTTGTATGTCACACTTGTGAGATGGGTGGATTATCTTGGCAAAGGAAAAAAGGTGAAAGTTTCTTGCTATTCATAGAAATGGTATAAGTGTCATTTTAATTTTTATTTTTGTATCTGAAAGACCCCTGAGAAGCGCAGCCACAACGGATACACCAACTTACCAGATGTGGTGCAGCCCTCCCACTCCCCCACTGACTCTGCTCCTCACTCCTCGCCTGGGAAGGACTCGGTGTATGATGTAAGAGTGATGCTAAGTATTATCAGACATAAATACTTGATTTATTATTGTGCATTCTGTATGCACAGCACCGCATGGTTGTTCCGCCTCTCATCGGACGTGCAAGGCTCGAAATAAGTGGTTTCGCATGGCTCTTTGTGACGTCAAATATGTATTTTGCCCTTCAAACGAACCCCTTGAAATGCAAAACTGCAACCGGGCTGAGGTTTATTGGCAAAATGCAGAGCTGCTAAATGTGATTTGAATCACTGAGTGACACATTGACATAGTTCTCGCAAATTTGCTCCTCAAAGAAAAAAGTCATTTTGAGCCTTGGATGTCGAATTTACAGATTGCAAGTGCAAATACTTTGCAGCAGTCATCTTTGCTCTCTTCCCCACCAGTATCAGTCCAGATGTTTAGTCAAGGCACCTGGCAAGTCCTCCTTCACCACCTTTGTGGATCTTGGAATGTACCAGACACCGGGAGGTACCGGGGATAACATTTCTGTTACCAGTGAGTCACAAGTTTCTTCAGTGTTTATCCAAGATGCCTTCAATTGTCGTGCAATATCAATGATTTAGGAATCAAGCATTGTTTGCCAAACAGTCTTCCCTTATCTCATCAAACCCTCGTCATTCGCCCCATCGTGTTTAGGCTCAAGATTTGAACAGCTGAAGATGGAGGTGAGGAAAGGTTCCATGGTGAATGTGAATCCCACCAACACACGCCCCCCTACTGACACACCTGAGATCCGAAAGTACAAGAAGAGGTTCAACTCTGAGATCTTATGTGCAGCGCTTTGGGGTAAGGGGAGGATTCCCAAATACAGAAAATGGCTGAATATTGACATTTGTACAGTTCTGTTCAATTATTCACAGTGAAGAGAAAATGTCAAAAAAGGTCACCATTTAAAAGACGTAAGTGGGGGCAAATCACAAAATGAGCGCTTTCTTTGCTGTCTGTGCCTCAGCCATCCACTACGTTTTGTGTAAATCAGTGGACTAATTTAGGAGCTCAGAAACAAAGAAATACGACCAAAACTAAAATGTCTCACATGAATTGGAGATCTCAGGTTGCTGGTTCTGTGACACAAATAACTCTCCATGAGAGAACAAACGTGCATCTGCATTATAAAAGCATTTTTATTCAAATTTATTCAAGCTCCTTTGAACTTTTTTCAAAAGCTGTTTAGCATAAGGAACATCTCTCCCGGTGATGCCTGATGAAGTGTTGTCATGTTCTGATAAATACAGTATCTGTAAATGATAACAATCTGAAATTGAGGAGTTCCACTGCAATTTCAAAGATATTTTCTTCCTGGTTTTAGTGGTGTCATCGTGTAACTGTAAAATGCGTTGTTTAAAATTCCCGTCCAAGCAATTAGTGCTCCTCGTGCATTAGGTTAGTGTTGTACTCTGACCGTCCAGAGGACATATGGTTGCTAACTACAACTGTGCAACTGTGTTGCTTTAGGGGTGAACTTGTTGGTGGGGACGGAGAATGGTTTGAAGTTGCTCGACCGCAGTGGACAGGGCAAAGTTTATCCACTTATCAACTCGCGCAGGTTCCAGCAGATGGATGTTTTAGAGGGCCTTAACCTGCTCATCACCATTTCAGGTCAGTAAACTCTTTTTTTTTTTCATTGTTAACATTTGCCTTGATGTGAATAAAAAGCAACACTGTTTATTACAATTCCCCCAAAATGTGAAATGTCATAATAGACAATTCTTCTGTTCCACTGAAGGCAAGAAAAACAAGGTGCGCGTCTACTACCTGGCCTGGCTGAGGAATAAGATCCTCCATAATGACCCTGAAGTGGAAAAGAAGCAAGGCTGGACCACCGTGGGTGAGATGGAGGGCTGCGTACACTACAAAGTGGGTGAGTGACAGACTTATTATTGCTTGTGACAAATTCTCATGGATGCAAATGGCAGGGTGAATTATTGATTGAGGTGGAATGCGCTATCACGTGTCCTCGTGGTTGTCCCCTCTAGTGAAATATGAGAGGATCAAGTTCCTGGTGATTGCTTTGAAGAATGCCGTGGAAGTGTATGCTTGGGCGCCCAAGCCTTATCACAAATTCATGGCCTTCAAGGTAGTATGAGCAGTCGCACGGGATCACTCAAGTATTTAAGATGATTCTTCTTGCCTCGTTTATTGACTTCCCTTCCCTTAACCAGTCATTTGCAGACCTGCCACACCGGCCTGTCCTTGTGGACCTGACTGTGGAGGAGGGTCAGAGGTTAAAGGTCATCTACGGTTCCTGTGCTGGCTTCCACGCCATCGACGTGGACTCCGGAAACAACTACGACATTTACATCCCGGTTCATGTGAGTTGTTCGGCTTTCGAGGAGCGCCGGCGCGGGAGATTTGGAAACCACTCGGGATTCGCTTTTGCTCCCAAACAGATCCAGAGCCACGTGACGCCGCACGCGATCGTGTTCCTGCCCAGTTCCGACGGCATGGAGATGCTTCTGTGCTACGAGGATGAAGGCGTCTACGTCAACACTTACGGACGCATCATCAAGGATGTGGTCCTGCAGTGGGGAGAAATGCCCACATCTGTTGGTACGGGATTAAGGGGGAAAAACGGACTCACCGGCTTGAACCGAAAAGTTACCACAGTGGACAGCTTATCATGTTATCAGGCTACAGGTTATCATTATTGGTGCATGAAAGGGTTAATTATGTGATGTCATTTTCGTTTGCAGCTCACATCTGCTCCAATCAGATCATGGGATGGGGAGAAAAAGCCATTGAGATCCGTTCTGTGGAGACGGGCCACTTGGACGGCGTCTTCATGCACAAGAGAGCTCAGAGGCTGAAGTTCCTTTGTGAGAGGAATGATAAGGTAAGAAATAAGAACACTGAAAATCTGTGGCGGGGGGTATGTACCAAGATACAAATATTCGTTACTGTACATAAAAAGATTAATCCGCTATATGCACTCTAACCAGTTGGATTTTTTTTCTATTGATCTTGATCTAATTTAGTTATGATAGCGTGTCCAGTAGGGGTGTGCATCTTTCCAAGAACACAATTTGATTGTCTTTCATCCTCAGGTGTTCTTTGCCTCAGTGCGGTCAGGCGGCAGCAGCCAGGTGTACTTCATGACCTTGAACAGGAACTGCATCATGAACTGGTGAAGGGACAGCTGCTCTGCTCGCGATGGAGCCAGCAGGATTTGGAAGTGGAAGTGCATCCAACATTCTCTGACACACACACACACACACACACACACACACACACACACACACACACACATGCGGGCGAGCATGCTTATTCGCTGTGGTATACACACGCACACACACACACACACACACACACACACGCACACTCGCAAACACACTGATCAACGCTGATAACACGTGGATTAAAAAAATGCACACACGCTCGGATTTAAAAAGTCAAATAAGCAGTCTTTAAACGTTTTCAGATCAGCCTCATGGCCCCGATAATAATAATTTCTGACAGAGAGTCAGCGTTGATCTCCGATTGTTGATAGCGTTTATTCGTTTGTGCTGTCCATACGCCTGTCCTGCTTTCCCTGAGTTGGTGGACCACGCACATTCGTAACTGCTCAGTTGATAATTGTGAAGTACTGTACTGTACATTCCTAGATGGTTTCTCTAGGGACAGAAGAAGTTATTTACCACCACTGTCTGTTAAAAGTTGGGCTGTAAATAGCACCAATCACCAGATCATCCCGCAGGTGTCTTCTGCTCTCGCCTCCCTTCATTGTGATGCCGCACGACACGATGCAGGCACAGAATATGCTGGCACACCCATCTGCTGTGGCTTATGTCTCCCAGTTGTTTCGGGGCTTGCGAGAATTTCACGCGGGCTTAAAGGCCTTCGTGCAAAAAGGGACATTTTGGGCCAGCTCATCCAAAATTAGAGCGGATCTGGGAGTCGTGTTTTTGCTCATGCTTCAGTTAGAAATTTGTCATAACTGCGCAGTACTCTGTGACTGACAGTACTGTGAAACATCCCACTTTCCTCCCCCCGCCCCCCTCCTTTCAGTTGAGGCAAACCAATCAGCCCCCTCCAACTTGTACCGAGCATTTTTTCATAGATTTACAACAAATTTGATATTTATATGTAGTGATTCTGAATTACTGGTATTCTTGATTTTGCTCTACTGTAATTATATTTCAATATATCCCGTTGTTGTGCTGTCTTTGTTTGGGGAGGGTGTGTTCGTATATGTGGCTGAACATGTTAAGCCCGTGTGATGATTTAACTTCAGAGGCAGTCAATCTCCTCGACTCTCAAATACCGTCGCGTGGATCTGTTTATGAGAAGTAGTGCACCGTGGCTAATTTTGTTCTGACCTGATAGAAATGCGTATTTTTAGAGTCGTAACGGAGACTGCGTCTCATGACAGTTGATTTCTTTATGTACACATGGCTGAAGGTCATGGTACTGTACACACTGCTACATAGGGGGAGAGGGGGTGAATACAGGCCAAAGGAAGCCATCTTGTCAAGTTGAGAAGACTCTTAACCCCCTCTCCTAGAAAACTAAACAGTCTTCTCCATTTTGTGTATAGTGACACTGGTTTGCAATAGAAACACTGCAGGAGGTTTTTGAGAGCTTTAGCTCGGTCAACATGAAGCGCTCGGGTCTGATAAATGCAAAGAGTTGCAACAAACATTGCACTTTTCGAAAATGAACGCCGCGCCTCGGAGTTAGCGGGGGATTTGTGAGTGTTGAAATGGATGGAGTTGTTGCGCTGCGGCACATTGTGTGATGACGGTGAAGAGATGTTTATGTATTGTCAAGCCAAAAGTGATAGATATACAAATATATAAATGTACAATAGCTCGAGCAGACACTCGAGTGTGCATGTAAGCCATTGAAGTACTATCGTGTATCAAAGTTGTTTTCCCCTTTTTAGCGATTTGTTCATTATTGTTTCTTACTTATCGTTGTGTGCCACGGCCTACATTTCACACAGGACTGTTGGCATGTGCGTTTTTCTGCGATTATTTTTATCAACTTGCCATGTTTACAGTTTAAGCAGTGCCTTGGAGTTGGGACGACAACGTGAGAAGATATTATAGGATGGGTTTAAGCCTCGCCCCCAGTCTCTTATTAACCGTAACAAGAGGTGTAATTTTGATTATCATCCGCCCCTTAAAGTGCACTTAAATCATTGAAATGCATATTGACATAAGATAAGAAAAGATAAGAAAACCTTTATTTGTCCCACAATGGAGAATTTTGCACCCGAACAGGAATATTCAATGAGTAGTAATTCAGAAATTGGCAATAATGAAGAAATAAATGTTAATCCCATGAAAGATTAAAAAAAAAAAAAAAAAAGTCCGGACTCGAGTGGGAGCCAGGATTAGAGCAAAGCCATACTTGTGAATCGTCTCGTGACGTCCGCGCGTAGATTGTCGCAGCAAAGATAAAGTCGGCGCTTACTCTCTTCAGTGTTGCTAATGTGACGTAGTAATGGGGAAAGTAGCTTGACTATACTTAGAGAAGTCTATTTTGTAAAAAATAAAAAATAAAAATGTAAATTGCTCTGAGAAATAACAGTGAATGTACTTCTATCTAAGACAGAGATTTGTATTTATGTAAAAAAAAAAAATGTGCCGTTCTATTAATCAAAGCACAATGTGTAACAGTATATTTTCTCAGTCGGTCGTCAGGTAGGAGACAAGCAAGTCATCACCTGTGTTGTGTGGCCCACGGGATGGTAGTTGGGTCTGATGAGGTGAAGTCGGCGGGTTGGGGTCAATGTTGGCTGGGGTGTCCGCTGTCTGCTAATATGCTCAGGCAGTGACTTGACTCCGCTTTGCCAGGTCACTTGAAGGCTTTTGGTTTTGAAATTGAAATGGGACCAGGAGAAAATAAAAAATCCGGTTTTATCTTGAGCGCCATTCCCTGATTCCCAAATGAAAGTGACAGTTTCATATCAAGCACACAAGAGGTGTACCATACACACAAGAGACATCCAGGCTTCTTCCATACCAAACCCACTGAGTCCATATTATCTGATGAAAAAAAAATTAAGCACAGTGTCAGGTCTTTTAATTGCTGCAAAAATGATCTTTAACTGATTTTTTTGTTGTTTTTTTTTTTTTTTTTTTTTTACCAAGAGGGCTTGGAGGATAGATCGGATCAGTGGCCCACTGAGCACACAGATTTTTGTGGGCAGAAGTCAAGTCGCACTTTTAGTTGGACCACGGTTACAATTCGTGCGTCTGTAGCTAAATGTGGTCTCTTGAGTTTTTCTTTATTATTCTTTTTTTTTTCATCCATTATCTTCAGATGCCATTCAGAAGTTGGTTTACAGTTTCATTTTATTGTTTTAATTCAAACCTGAATCAGTTGGCCAAGTTTCATAAATGAGTAGGCCAAGTGACAGCATGTTCTTCTGTGGCAATGCCTTCCTAGTTTCAATTTCATTTTCTGTTGTTTACGGTTCCCATCTCAAAGAAGAAATCTAGCTTCATTTTTATCATTCTAGTGAAAATATTACACTTGATTTGTTTTTGGGGTCCCCCCCCCCAATTGTTTTAGTTTAGCGCTTAAGTGATACTGGTTCATCATGTCTCTTCAGTTTCATGCCAAGAGCCTTCAAAATCTCACATCAGCGTGTGACCATGAGATCGATTGTTTCTGGACAGTCAGGATGCACAAAAGTGTGTGAGAAAAAGCAATCCAAGCAATATAAGCATTTGATCAATCCATCCCAGCGTGGCTTCAGGAAGTATTTAGCGGCCTTTGGCAGCCAAAATGTTGGCTGGTTGGTGAGTCATTCATTTTGGATTTTACTCCTGGTTTGCTTTACATTATATATCTTTTTTTTTTTTTTTAACAACTAAGGGATTCTGGCTTTTTCTCTGTAGTAGCTGTGATGCTCAATTGATCCCATTTCGCTTTTGCGGAATCCCATAATTGCCTTTATTGAAAAGTGGAAGAAAGCTCGCCATCTACAGGAGCTCGTGAAGCAAATCAATAATAGAGCCAACCCAAGAACTCGATACTTTTGAACATCAAACTACATTTTGTTTTTTTTTTTAATGGCGGTAAACATTGCAGTGTTTTAGTTTGCAAGTGTTTCTTAACTTCAGAGTGTATTTCATAAGCTCTTTAAAACTTTTAAAATATTGTGTTCATGTCTAATACAGAATAAAAATCTCTTCATCTCACATTTGTCTCTCTTTATTGTGCTCTATTTTCTACTGGGACGTAATTGGTTTGTCATGATTTCGCTTCGCTCTAAAACAAAATTTCCCATCCGTTGTGCCGCAGCGCGTTCGTGTCACCAATTTCACATACAATAATTGGACTGAAAGTCATTCTTTTACTAACAATAATTAGGGGCGGGCAAGTACTGATACCAGGTATTGCTTACGTCTAAGTTTCAGGTTTTTGTGCTGCCGATACCAGTCGCTTATACCAGTTACTGGCGCCCTCTTGTGGTCGTTATATGATCAGGCAGGAATGGCGGGCATGGCTGACAAAACAATTTTGATTTTTCGTAATGGAAATGTGTGCTTTGGCTGACAAGGTTGAGAAAAATTGCTCTAAAATGATAATGCATGGCAGTGATTCTGCCGCGGGCTCTATCTGGTGGTAATGCGAAAGAATCACTACAGTTAAAATTGGATTTGGCTTTCAATGGAATGGCCTTGCATTTCAAGACAATACTCAATATACTGTTTGCAAAATACCTCATTTTTGTTTTTAATGGGCACATGGTGATACTTGGAGATCTGTTTATTTAGTATCGGGGACGGTGGTCTCGTAAAAAGCTTGAGAAACACCGTCTACCGATTGATCATTTGTGGAGGAGTCGAGAGCATTTTAGCATTTTGCCACACGATGGCGCTACAAGCCACAATGTTGCTTCGTGCTGCTTCAAATTGTTCCAATGTACATTTATTTCTCATTTAGCTGGTTAGTGTAGATTCAAAATACAGCTAGGCAAATTTCATTCATTTAAAGTCGAGAAATGAAAGATGCTGAATGAGCCACGACAGTGCCACAAATGAACAATCTCTCTGTAGAATGTAAATACTGAATTTAATTGTATAATTTTCAGCCACTTGGCATTCTGTTATGCTACTGTACGCTTTAGGTTTTTGTATTCTTCCATAGTTCTAATCATTTTGCCCATAAGCATCTGACTTCCAAAAAGTGCCTATAAAAACTTCAGTTTGTCCCACATTCACATCCGATGATGACCTTTAAGACAGTTAATCCATTGTGCAAGTCAACTGTTCCTCTTGAATGTGACACAAATATATTCGCATCAACAGTGCTTAAAAAAGGACCATTCACTGGCAGGAGAGGCTATTTATTAATATTATGTACAATTTTACCATCGTGATCATCAGATTAAAGTTTGAATACTGGCTCCTGCTCGATTCAGACTCCTCTTTACAATGCTTTTACCTTTTCGTCACATTGTCAAGTTTCTTCTCCACTTATCCAATATTCTCTAGCAATAATCGTTAAACGTGTATCTGAGGCACAAGGGGAGAACATGAAGAAATGGAGTGTAAAAAAAAAATGCACTGAGTATGGGGCATATAGCTATCCACAAAAACCTTCTAAAACATGGCCTAATATTAAGATATAATTATGATGTTTTTACCTCTATCAAATTTGTTTTCCCACTCGGTTTTAATGGACTCTGATTCTCTTCCACGTTCTCCCCGAAAAGCATCACAAGTGGCACTGAGACAGAACGTACATACTACAGTAGTATTCGTCTTAAGTGCATTTTGGACTTCATTGTAAACAAAGACAGAATTGTCCACTGACGTCTTCTGAGCTGTGTCTCTTGGGGGTTGGGGGAGTGAGTGTATGTGGAACATTTTAAAAGGCTTCAGGTCATAGTTTTGTGTTTTTGTTTTAATACAAGAAAGCTTACAAGATTTAAATGTATTTGGTCACATTGTGTGTGTGTGTATTTTTTCATATTGTGTGTGTGTGTGTGTGTGTGTGTGTGAGAGAGAGAGAGAGTGTGTGTTTGTGTCACCTTGCAGCTGTAGTTTTGCACTTGAGTCGAAGGTAGCACGTGTGATTGGTGTAACTAAGTCTTCATACTATGTCTTATGTACACTTGTTGCACTTACATACAGTGCGAACACATGTGTTCCAAGAAGTGTGTGTGTGTGTGTGTACGTGTGTCTTTCTTTAGTTCCAGATCTTGAGGAAGCTGTCCCAGGACCCGGTGGACACGGCCATGCCATCATCAGTCACACCCAGACAGCTCACACGATTGTCATGGCCGGCCAAGACTCCTGGAGGAGGGTCGGCACGGACAAAAGACGACTTGTTAACATTGAAATGTTTTGCTCTCCAGACTTAAGCCGGGACGTCTTAACCCCACATAGAAGACAACGGGCCTTGTGTTTTACGGTACTTCATAATCTGACACCAAAATAACTCTGTGAATGTGTAAATATGAAAGACTTTACTGTTTGAACTTGAATTATTAACTGCCATTTTGCCCTAAATAATTGACTCCATATGAGGCTTGTATGACTTTATTTCCAATTTCAATTCCGTGGGTTCAAATTCTATTTCTCATCCATCCATCCATTCATTCATTCATCCATCCATCCATCCATCCACTTCCTGATCCGCGTATCCTCATGAGGGTTGCGGGTGTACTGGAGCCTATCTGCGTATCCTCACGAGGGTTGCGGGCGTACTGGAGCCTATGCCAGCTGTCTTCGTGCAGTATAGGCGGGGTACACCCTGAACCGGTTGCCAGCCAATCATATGAGAGGAAACCGGAGTACCCGCAGAAAACCCACGCAGGCACGGGGAGAACATGCAAACTCCACAAGGGAAGACCGGGCCGGAATTGAACCCTGCACCTCTTCACTGTGAGGCTGACGTTCAGCGGGAGGTCATTTCAAAGAGAGAGGCCAGCAACGGAAAAGGTTCGATCCGCCGGAATTGATCCCTGCACCTCTTCACTGTGAGGCCGACGTTCACCGGGAGGTCATTCCAAAGAGAGAGGCCAGCAACGGAAAAGGTTCGATCCCCGATAGCTCTTATGAGTACCAGTCAAGGGGCGAGCAGCAGCATTCTGGAGAGAGGCCAGCAACGGAAAAGGTTCGATCTCCGATAGCTCTTATGAGTACCAGTCAAGGGTTGAACAGCAGCATTCTGGACCAGCTGGAAACACTTGATGGAGGATTGGCTGACTCCATTGTCAAGTGCATTATAGTAATGTAGCCGAGATGTGTTTTTCATCCAAATATTTACTCCTAGTACAATTGAAGGTTACGAACTGCGTGCATTGAGCCAGCTAGCGCAGTGGAGTAAGAATATTCCGTCGCGTTACAAACAGTGCGCAAGGAACTAGTTTCCGTAGGGGAGCAAAAAAACGCCACCCAACGGCACCAGTAATGTTCCCGCCGTACTTATTAGTACTGTATTCATTTTGATTACTTGATGATCTAGTAGTGTTTTTTTCCATATGAATGTTAACTGTAATTATGATTTTCTAATGCGTTAGCTGGGTTAGCCAACTGAAGCTAGAGAACTTTACAGCATACAAATTCTGGTTACATTGCTGATGTACGTCCAGATCTATGTCATGAATGCCCGGTGTTGTCACCCAATAACACCTTGTTAGTCTAATATATTTGTTAAAAATCCACTACATTCTCAGATAGAACCTTATACAGTAAATGGAAACACTATACACTATTGTTGAACTTGTGTGGAATCTCTCAAATTTCTTCTGCACCCACCTGCTCTGTCTCCCTTCATGGCGTCCCAGATGTTGCAGTTAAAGTCGTCGTAGCCTGCCAGCAGCAGGCGGCCCGAGCGGGAGAAAGCCACCGAGGTGATGCCGCAGATGATGTTGTCATGGCAATAGAGGCTGAGTTCCTGGTCCGCGCGCAGGTCGAACAGTCTGCAGGTGGCGTCGTCAGAGCCCGTGGCAAAGGCGCTGCCGTTGGGGAAGAACTTAGGGAGACAACGCCTGAGGTGAGTTCAGTGGATAACTTTTTAAAATAAACATACAGGAATCATTTCAAATCATACTAGTCAGTGCGCCATTTAAAACCATTTGGTAAAAATTGCGCCAAATACTACAGTTTGGTACAGAGGATAAGATGACAAACATCAAAAGCTTGAATATTTTCTTTTTAGCAAAGTCAATAGTTTTTTTTTTTTTTTTTTTTTTTTTAGGGAGAAACAATGCAGTATTTTGCATCGCACTAGTTATTTTGTGTGGCTAGTATGATGTCTGCTAGCCAGAAGCTAAGCTCCATTACATTTGTTTACAGAATAGTCCTGTGAGTAAGTCGCAAGGCCAAATGTAGTGCATGCAAAGCGTAATTGATCTTACATAATTGCCCTTGCATTTGGTTTGAAATTATTTTGGGGTACTATAGTTTGTGGTATACAGCGGTATCTTGATTTACACATTTAATTCATTACATGACTTAGACACCTGTTCATTGAAATATTCAAATTTGCATACTACTTGTGCCACTTCAAGTTTTTGGTTGTGTGTCTGCATATGTTTTTGTTTTTTAATAACCTGACTGTCGTTGGACACTCACACAGATGGCGTTGATATCCGACTCGTGTCCCGTGAAAGTCTGTCGACACATGCTGTCTCTGATGTCCCACAGCTTGACCGAGGCGTCGCACGCTCCCGACACAAAGGTGCGCAGGTCGGGCGCCAGGGACAGACTCATGACGTCCCCCGTGTGGCCCGAGAACACCGTGGTCTGCTGGCTCGTCTCGATGTCCCACAACGCACTTGGCGCAAAGAACGTCGGGGGGTCGGTCAGACAACTATAATTTGCAAAAAGTGTATCGCGGGACTGTTTACAATGTATTCCGCTCACCAGGTGGTGTCTCCTGAGCTCGTGATGATTTGATTGTCGTCGATGAAACGGCAACATGAAAGGTAACCTGAGACAAAACACGCAAATTTGAAATACAAGTACTGTATCCCAAAAAATAAACAAAAACATGGCTCATATAGTTCCAACGGACAGCAGTGCAGATTGTGAAGACCCGGAGTAGATTTGACTGAAATGGCAGCACACAGAGGCTGAAATCTAAATGGACAAGAAAAATGTAACGTACACATAATGGAAGCCGTGCCGCCATGAGAAACATTAGAAAATGATGAGAAACGACTTGGGGATAATAAAAGAAAACAAATTCATGGGCCAATATTAGAATGTAGGTTGTGTATGTAGGTCAGCGCTTCTGAGAGTGTGAAGGCCAGCAGAGAAGGCCTTGCTGACCCTGACAGCTCACCACTCATTATTTTACTGTACTTCCTCATATCGTGGCATTTACTCATGTGCAGAGATTAGAGGTAAGGTTGATTTAAGGCGCAAATGATTAATAGTGTACAAATGCATTTTCAAACAATAATAAGTCCCATTGTAATTTTCATTTACTTGCACATTACACAGCCTTTCGATAGATGGTCACTGGTGTCCTCTTATGTTATTATTACTCTTAGGACTTTTAAGGCTCAACATAAAGAACTAATTCTTAGTTCAAGTATTTAAATACAGTGCAAAGTGAATTGAGAGATTTCTCAATCCATGTTTGAAGCCTGGCAGCTTTAGAGTGCCTTGTTGTCGGCTGCGAGTGCACGTACATCACACAGATAAAGACAGCGAGGAGGGAGAAAAATAAAATAAAATCTGATTTCATGTGGATTATGGTTTGGGGCTGGCAAGGACTTTTTTTTTGAGCAACTCATTGTTGCGGCATGGAAAAGCCCAACGGCGACTGGCATTCAAGCCACTGGAGGCTTTGAGGGCGATATATTTTCATGGCTGAAATAGTATCCATTTTCCCAGGCTGTAGTAGAGTTATATGATTGACAGTTGACAGCCAAACAGGGCGGGGCTCCAGCACATTTAGCAGACCCGTCCACAGTCATAAGCGAAGAAAATGGGGGTATTTATTGAAGATTATTGTGAAATTTTGATGCAAGTTCATGACCCGGCGATTAATTGGGGCACATGATTTATGAAGCAATGGGTCCTATTTTAAGAAATCTGGTATTCCTGCCAAGTAGCCCACACGTATTGGCTGCAACTACTCGGATCTTAGATGACATGAGGTATCATCTGGCCTCATTACCAGCCAGTGATTAATTGAGCATCTTAATCAAGTCGCCTTCCCCATGAGACAAGCCAATCAAAGTGCACTCGTATCATCGGTTTGAGATGAAGCTCTCTCACCTGTATGCCCAGGTAGCTCCCGGCTGATCCTGACGTTCCCTTCGCGTGTTTTCAGGCAGTAGATGGAGCAGATGTTATCAAGGCCTCCACATGCCACGTAGTTCCCAGACGGGGCGTACGCACAGGTCATGACCCAGGAGGAGCGCAAGGGGATGGCGTGGATCTCAAAAAAAAAAAGCAAGGTAACACGTATCAGGTAACAAGGAAGATACTCTTAGCGAGAACGTAGACTGCGGCTAATGTTGGGAATTCACAGACGATGTCAGGATAAGTGTTACGACTGCGTGAGTGTGCTGCGTGTACCTTGTTAGTGGTGTAGCTGTCCCACACGATCAGTTTGCCATCTTGAGAGGCGCTAACAAGAAGCCTGTGGAGACACGCATTACATCATGAGATCGGCACTCACTTGGGCTTCCGACGGTCTTCTCGGAACGCACAAATTGATGTGATCGCTGCAAATGCATTTTTCACTCTTACAAACCCGTCTTAGCAGAATTCACTCCGTTTTTTCCCCCCTCTGTTTTGAACACTTTCCTGATGCTCGATTAATCAGCCTTAGCAGAATTCACTCCGTTTTTTCCCCCTGTTTTGAACACTTTCCTGATGCTCGATTAATCAGTGGACTTCTTCCACATTTAGCATAATCACCAACGCATCTAGCTTATGCTCATAGGCAACAATAATAATGAAAACTGCACTCAATAGACCGCAGACTTTCACCAAGGTCGCAATCCATCTGACTCATTTCACGGAACTATCTGGACTTGCCAGGTGATGTCGTTCCACTCCAATCCTGTAAGAGGCAATAATGCGAATTATGTGGTGACTGCCAACTGCGACACACGGCGTGCCGCTTTCGCTGCAGTTCTAGCTTCTGGATGTTCACCCAAAATGCAAGCACTGCAAAGGTGAAATAAAAGCCTTGATCCGCACCTTCATCCAGATCCTAGCTAAAATGTAAGGGATCATTCCTAGGCCCCTTGAAAATTTTGTGGAAATCGATTATGAAAGGACCTTGTCTGAATAAACAAATTGACTCCGTTTGAAATCCGGGCCGATTTAATTTAACTTCAAGATGGAAGCCTCCTGTTACATAAACGGCTGCTACCGGTAGTTGCTTGTATCTTCTGCCATATTAGCAGTTGGCATAGAGAGCTGAACAAAGATAAATTTGGCTGGCTTCAGGATGAACCCTCCAATGTCACAATTTGGTAAAATTCATATTTTGGGGCTGATTTTCTAATGCGGGGCTGGTTAGGAATCACACCCCTCAGTATGCTAATACAAACCACATACCATAACAATCATGGCTAATGCTTAGCTTTTTTTTTTAATCAAGAAATAATGAGGGCAACTTCCAAATGTTGAAAGTTTGCAAGTATTTGTCTTCCACCGGTCCCTGAGGAATGCCATCACAGGCTGCAAGTAGAACAGCATCAGAAAATATACAGAGAGCCGTTAAGCCCCACCTTGAGTCTGACCCCCAGTGCATGGCATAGATCTTAGCAAGGTGGCCTCGGAGGGTGCGTCTTGTTCGCATCTGTATCCGCCCCACTGGATCCAGACCAGCAGTTATCTAGGTAGTACATGATGACAAGTAGATTTCAAAAATAGGACAATAGGATCTTTTTTTTTTCTTTTCCTGATAAAACCACGTACTAATAAACTCCATATTCTCATCATCAGTCATTCTGTGACACTCACCTGTGTCAAGGTGGAATCTCCACATGCTTTCCTGGCATCCTGCAAAACACCAAGAAACGGGAGAATGGAGTGAAAAAGTCAGAACGTGTAATGGTATGTTGTAAAGGGAAACAATTTGGGACGCCAAGAAATACTCAACATACTCGGATCTGGTTCCTCAGCTGCTCGGCTTCCTGGCGAAGCTGCTCCAGCTCACTCATTTTGGAATTTGGTGTAGATGCCGCCTGTTAGGTGGAGAAGAGTAAACCTAAGAGACGTCTGCTCGTGTACAATCGGTGGACACAACATAGGTTGCAATTGCGCAATCGAATCGTATTCAACGCTATTTGCTAGCAGAGATTCTCAAAGCGAGCGCGGGCTCCAGATAGTGGTATGTGAAAGAGTCACTGCCTAAATACAGTTCAGTTGTGTTTCACTTTTTTACTGCAATACATTTGCAAGATACATTTTAATTGCATCATTCAAGTACATTTTTGTTTTCTTCCTGTACAGGATGTTTGATTTGTTTGTGTCACCTTACGTTACCTTATATCTCAATGACTTTTGAAGATATGAAACCCCAACTTCTATTTCCCAAAAGCTATCAATCGCAAATTTTTGAAGCTAAAATTTGAACACAAAAATGCAAGAATTTTTTTTATTTGATTTTTCCACAAACGTTCAATATGCAAGTCCTTGGTTACACGGCATACATCGAAACGGTAGACCGTTTCTTGCCAAAGGCGAACGAGCCAATCGGAATTTATGGTTGTCAAGGCCTCAGTTATCCGAGTCTTCGGATCATGCTTTCTTATTAAAATGTAAGACACCAATTGCCTTCTCATTTCCAGTGTACGGCATTATAAGCAAATAGCGATGAACTCACTGCAAACCATATTTTACATTTTGCATAGTGCACACAACTCAGTATAATAACTCGTCTTTTGTGCCTAAAAATGTCTTTATTTAAATATACAAGTATGCTGACCAGACAGCTCATTAGGTACACCTATACAGTCGAACGAAATCCACTCGGAGAGATCTGTATCAAAGATAGCGCTATATCACAGGTTTCAAACTCAAAGCCCGCGGGCCAGATCCAGCCTACCACATTCTCACCCGGAAAAGCAAATGAATAGTTTGTATTTTTTTTTTTTTTTGTTACCCTTTTGACAGTAACTTGAACAATTATTGAACCAACTATTACCCTTGCCGTCTGATTTCAAAACTAGTAATCCATCAATTTGTTGTGTAGATGTAATAATTCGATGAGATGAAGTGGCCTTGAGTTTGACACGTCCGTCCTATATAATGAAGGTAATGCTTTCACACCTGCAGTTAAATGTGGTAACGAAAATATTAAATGCACCGCTCAGTCGGATGCAAACAACTGCAGTAATGTGATACTGTGATATATGCCGGAGTTACATTAAAACCTATTGGACAATTGATTTAAACCTGTGTTTTTATTTCTAAAAGGCAGAATTTGTCATGTAGATCTCTGTACCGGGTCTTAATATGTGTAACTTATGAAGTGTCTAGTGCATTTAATGATGACCTTTCTTCATCCCAGATTTGGACATTAGATTAAAAAAAAAAAAATCAATAAAACCATCATATTTTAATCCCTAACTACTAGTGAGAATAAACCCTGTAATCTCTTTACAACAGTGCCACTGTGCCCGGTTGAACTATGGAATAATAATCTGCACAGACTAAGATGCCACAGAGCCAGCGTGCATAGCTAGCAGGCAAAAGATGCTGAGGGACCACTCCCACGAAAGCCGAGGGGACCTGTTACACTTGTGTACCAAGCCGAAGCGCACTATTATTAACTCAGAAGGTTAATATATCTCGGAGTGGGAGTGGAATTTTTGCTGGAGGCCTACTGGGGTCACTGCAACGCAGTAAGAAGTGTGTTTTTGAATCAATGAAGTGGCTTGAATTATTGACACCAGAAGCCAAAAAGGGGTGTCACCACCTGACACCAATGGTTGTGTAACCATTGAGGAGCTAAGAAGGTTTACAGTGTCCAAAATGAGGCCTGCAAACATCCATTGGAGGACAAAATGTCACATTTTAACATTTCCTTTTTTATTACTTTTCACCCGTTGACATCGTTTTTACTGCTGGCATCTCTCTGTATGGATGCACGATCAGACCGTGGGTCATTTTTTTTCTTTTGGGCTAAGAGCATGCTGCCCCACCCCTTTGACTTGCACACCATGGTTACATCTGCAGCTGGAGGAGAGCCCACAGCGAACATGAAGAGTGTAATGTCAGAGATAGTGAGGCCCGGCTCACTGCCACAGTCAAACACGAAGGCCTCAACTAAACAGAATGTCACTACGCTACAGCACGGAAGAGGGAGAAAGCTCCCCATTTCTTTCAAAATGGACAACAGGCGAATGTAGGCAGTCATAGCAACAAGATGTTTTTCAATGCAGATGGTTAGAGCACCATCATCATCATCATCATCATCATCGTTTTAATCATCATCATCATCATCCTCATCATCACCCAGCCATCTTACACAGTGAAAACTGGCCTATTCACTTTAATAATGGGTGGCTACCTGTTAATTCCACCGATGCTCCTCTTTGATTGTCGTGAAAAAAAGCCAACTCCTTTGAATAAATAATTAGTAAAAAAAATCCCGTGGGTTTTAACAATAAGTATTTTCAATCATGTGGTTTTATATATGTGTCTAAAAAAAGGAAATATGCAGAGAAGATGCACACGAAGAGGCGTCAGTGGGCAGGCACACGGAGGAGGAAGAGGGGGAGGTCTTCACACATTTCCACACAAGAAAAAAAGAAGAGCACAAAAAAAACCCCACACATCCACGGCTGCTGCGTAGCGGCTGTCCCCTCTTTTTTTTCACGCCGAATAAGTCCACGTTGACATGGTGGTGAAAGATAAGCTCCAGTTCAGTCCACGCTCGTCTCAAGCCAAGGAGCGTCAAATAGCACTCGCTCTGTTTTTTTTACTCCGATTTTGCTCTTCGTGACGTGATCTTCATTTCCTTCCTCTCTCTCAGTGGTTTCCTCCTCCTCCTCGTCGTCGTCCTCCTCCCTCCTCCTCTCTCCCTCCTCATCACTCGTCTAAAGGGTACAATAGAAAGGCAAACCCGTGAAAAAAAGCATCTCCTAATGAAATATCAAAAGAGTGTTTTTGTTGTTGTTTTTTTTTTACATGGAAATAATCCGCCGATTCTGCGAGTTTATTTTTTTTCCTTCTCTCTCACTCATGATAAGGAAGCAGGCAGACATCACGAGGGTCAGTTTGCACAGCAAAGGGTTCTGCAAATATTCAACCAACAACTACATGTGTGACACACCCTTTAAATGTTACATCCCCATTTGAAAAATCAAGATGATGATGTGATAGAATTGTAATGGCAGGCCTCCCAGTCAGACTTCAATTTGTGGTCACGTCAGCTGACAGGAACTATTGAGGATTGCCTGTAACTGTAACTGTTCTAGTTTTTATTCCCGCACAAGCATGATAGTTTTTCTAAACAAGTTGATCCAACAAAGTTCTCATTTGCATTTCCCTCTTCTGGTATCTCATATGGTTACTGAGCAGCAGTCATATTTTGAAGGTTGTTTGAATTGCTATATTATATTGCTATATTGCTATACTATATTAATTGATTTCTACACAATGCAGCAGTCCATGATACCAAGGTTAATTCCTTTCTTTTTGTTCTGTACTGGAGACATTTGAGTTTCAGGTAAAAAAAATATGAATATTGGACAAAAGTTCAGAAGTCCAACTTTTATTTCATGTTATTTAGTGTCCAGCTAGTTGTGTTAACCAATTCAGGACAGAGCACCTTTTGTTTGAAGCCATCCACTTTTTCAGTGAGCAAAAGTATTGGAACGGACGTTCTTAAATGAACATTTAATGGCTCCAGTGATTTTTGAAAATAGACAGATGGGCCAGGTCATGTAGATTAGAAAAAAAACTATCCAGCAATTTTCTGTTCCTCTTGACCTTACTGGGTCAATGGGTGAGTTGGTGTTTGGGGGAAAGACGGGATGCACCCTGGGCTTGTGGTCATCAGCCAATTGCAGGCTGGCCCGCGGGCCATTGTTTTTCTACCTGCTCTAGCGAATGCAAGCGTACCTAATGATGTGGTTAGTAGCAATCTTCTATTTGAGTTTTACAACACCGCCCCCTGGTGTGCACAAACACCACTCACTAGTACAAAATGTTCAACTTTACAGACAAGGAATACAGTCTAGACTTTTAGAATCTGGAAATAAATGAATAAATAAAATACACAATTAAATAATAGAGCTTACTAATTAATTAAATAAACGATCGATCTCAAGTTTGTGTTTTTGTTCCGGGTAGTGACGTAAGGGGCGTGGCTAATGTCGAAAAGTAGCATCGCCTTGTTTCGGAGGCTTCAAAAAATTGGGGGCGTCCCCTTTTAGTCAGTCACATGGTTTCTTTTCCGCTCTCCCGTGACAGTTTGGAGCAAATAATCGCAGCACAAGGCGTGTCATGCCCCCGTGTTGTTATTGGGCATATTCCTTCGCGGGCCCCAGCTCACAGCTCGGTGCCGAACACCGTCCCGAGACGACAACAGCCAGCACCAAGTGGACGTAAAGCGGACATCAAACTCAAGCAGGAAGTGGGCCACTGTTTGTCGAGTGACCGTCGCGGTAAGTCTGAGCTTCCTGACCGGAGAATAAAGCATGCCACTACTCGCTTGCATGAGCCCAAAAGTGCGTTTATCCATTTCGATGGTGCAGTATTCGTATTGTTATTTTTAACGCCGTGTGCCGCCGATTCGTCGCTGCTTCACTTCCTGATTCTAAAACAGCACTGCCAAGGGAGCTCTTTTCTCGATGCCTCTTAAAAATGCAAACTTTTCAGCGTCCAGATCCGCCCCCATTCATCGTAAATGTGACAGAACCGGCTGTTTACTTGGAATTGTTCCAAACTAAGGCAAGGGGCCACCAGATGGCCCCTTTAGATGGTTCCAGGCGGTTTAGATCAACATCTGCAATAGCGGGCATCCTTTATTTTCAGCATCAGCAACAATACAAGCAGTTTAAACCGTTACAGATCAATATCAGGACCTACTGTACATGAAACCAGTTGCAGCCCACTATGGCATGTTTTCTATGTCTAACCATTGTGACTGCAGTTTAAATTTACTGGCCACAACCTTAAGTACACATCCACATTAGTGGTTCTCAATACGGGGTGCATAAAAAATAGGCAATAAATTATGTCATATCATAAAAAAGTGAACACCCATATAGGGAACGAAGTGCCAATAAAATAAAAATACTAAACCAATTGATTTTCTTTTGCTTTGGGCTGATTAAAAGCACCAATATGATTGTGACTTATCACATACCGGTTAGTCTTTTATCACATAGAAGGATTATTCTATCTTTTTAGTTGATGTCTAAAAGTCCCAGCAAGAGATTATTGTTTGCAAGCATTTGAATCTTTACAAGGCACTTTTACAAATGAGTCATATTATTTTGTAAGGGTTAATGGGCTGAGCCATGTCAGTAAACATCCAGCTCAGAAAGCTGCAAAGAGCAAACAGTTTACAGTATATTAACCCCCAACAATATGTAGAACAAACCAGGACAGACTTAAACCAAGATGGCTTTACTATTTAAATGATGTCAAAATCTCAGGTACAAGAAAAGTTTCATTTCTGGCATGCCTCATGTGGTTCCAGTTGCTGCTTGAGCAATTAGAAAAGGATAAATGTTCAGTGGGTCCCCCCCCAAAAAAGAATAGAAAGACATGCTGCCCAGCTCTATTTGGTCGGGTTTAATGTAAAATGAAACACAAAGGTGTGAACCAGTTGGCTCCAAATACCAAACTGAGGTGTGGAGCAGCTTTCATTAAGCACAACGCATCACAAACGTCACACGCTGCGGATTCCTACGAGCGTGTAATTGTTTGAACTTTGCAGCGCCTTATGTCAAAAAATTGTTTCTGCTGTCCACGGAGGTGGAAAATAAGAAGAGAATGTGTATCATATTGATTGTCTACAAGTAACATGACCAGTTTGCCAAGGGAGCTTTATCTCGATGCCTCTTAAAAATGCAAACTTTTCAGCTTCCAGATCCGCCCCCATTCATCGTAAATGTGACAGACTGCCAAGGGAGCTCTTTTCTCGATGCCTCTTAAAAATGCAAACTTTTCAGCGTCCAGATCCGCCCCCATTCATCGTAAATGTGACAGAACCGGCTGTTTACTTGGAATTGCTCCAAACTAAGGCAAGGGGCCACCAGATGGCCCCTTTAGACGGTTCCAGGCGGTTTAGATCAACATCTGCAATAGCGGGCATCCTTTATTTTCAGCATCAGCAACAATACAAGCAGTTTAAACCGTTACAGATCAATATCAGGACCTACTGTACATGAAACCAGTTGCAGCCCACTATGGCATGTTTTCTATGTCTAACCATTGTGACTGCAGTTTAAATTTACTGGCCACAACCTTAAGTACACATCCACACTAGTGGTTCTCAATTCTGGGTGCATAAAAAATAAGCAATAAATTATGTCATATCATAAAAAAGTGAACACCCATATAGGGAACGAAGTGCCAATCAAATAAAAATACTAAACCAATTGACTTTCTTTTGCTTTGGGCTGATTAAAAGCACCAATATGATTGTGACTTATCACATCCCGGTAAGTCTTTTATCACATAGAAGGATTATTCTATCTTTTTAGTTGATGTCTAAAAGTCCCAGCAAGAGATTATTGTTTGCAAGCATTTGAATCTTTACAAGGCACTTTTACAAATGATTCATATTATTTTATAAGGGTTAATGGGCTGAGCCATGTCAGTAAACATCCAGCTCAGAAAGCTGCAAAGAGGAAACAGTTTACAGTATATTAACCCCCAACAATATGTAGAACAAACCAGGACAGACTTAAACCAAGATGGCTTTACTATTTAAATGATGTCAAAATCTCAGGTACAAGAAAAGTTTCATTTCTGGCATGCCTCATGTGGTTCCAGTTGCTGCTTGAGCAATTAGAAAAGGATAAATGTTCAGTGGGTCCCCCCCCAAAAAAGAATAGAAAGACATGCTGCCCAGCTCTATTTGGTCGGGTTTAATGTAAAATGAAACACGAAGGTGTGAGCCAGTTGGCTCCAAATACCAAGCTGAGGTGTGGAGCAGCTTTCATTAAGCACAACGCATCACAAACGTCACACGCTGCGGATTCCTACGAGCGTGTAATTGTTTGAACTTTGCAGCGCCTTATGTCAAAAAATTGTTTCTGCTGTCCACGGAGGTGGAAAATAAGAAGAGAATGTGTATCATATTGATTGTCTACAAGTAACATGACCAGTCAAATGCATCTGGCCACATTTTTGAATCAGGTGACTGTTGTGACAGGCTGTTCATCAACTTCCTTCAACAAAATACTGCATATGACTCGTGAGCCTATTCAAAGGACATTTGCTGCATTTAAACATGCTCAGATGACCCTAATAATAAAGTAAGAAGTCATGGAAATGTTATAATGTAACGCTACTCTGAGACCGTTGAGTCTCATTTTCATGAAGCTCTGAGCACGTGACAAGCTGTGGGTGGTTAACATGCGAGACTTTTTGCTCCAGCCTTTTAAAACGTATCATCCAGTGTTGTGAAAAGAGGGGAAATGCGTTCGACCTTTGCATCTCTGATTTAAAAATGGAGCAAAAAATTTTTTATATATATATTGACCAGTGTAATGGTATAGTGGTATTTGCCACATTCAATATAAACTAAATCGGCTGTAATTTCTTTGACCAAAATTAACAAACAATTTTTACTGAATGGGCTTTTTCCTTTCTCGTGTTGTACTTAGCAGAATACTGCCAAACACAAATAAAATTGCTAAGACGTGAATACAACTTGGCTTGTCAATGTTATTCGTCTAGACCGCAAACTGACTCTGCAGCGCCTCTGCTGGTCACCGCCAAGTAGTGCACTCGAGTTGAGCGCGTCACAAAGATCAAATGAATTAATCCCTTGTCTGATTTGCGTTTCACAGGGCAAACTGAGTAAGCGGCCATGTCAAACGAACGTAGCCCCCTCATCACTTCAGGGGTGTGCGGTCTGAGCATGGCAGTGGCGACCTGCGGCACCGTAGTGGACACGTCCCCTGACTGCACCTCTCGGACGCCGAGTAAAGAGCCCAGAAAGCTCAACACATTTTTCGGTGTGATGGTGCCGACCATCCTCTCCATGTTCAGCATCGTGTTGTTTCTGAGAACGGGTGAGATGATTTACCAAGACAGCAGTTCAGCGGATATTTGTATGAACCTGAGTTGACTTGAGCTCATTTTGCAGGTTTTGTTGTTGGCCACGCGGGGCTCCTGCAAGGCCTTCTGATGGTGGTGGTCGCCTACATCATCATCACGCTTACCATCCTATCGATCTGCGCAATTTCTACCAACGGGGCCATACAGGGAGGCGGCGCTTACTGTATCCTTCATTCTCCTTGAATTGTCATTTTTGTGCTGATCTCATGTTAGAAACTAAACCCTGACTGTGTTGATCAGACATGATCAGTCGATCACTGGGCCCTGAGTTTGGAGGAAGCATTGGTTTGATGTTCTTCTTAGCCAAGGTGTTTGCGTGTGGAGAATACGTTCTTGGTCTGGTGGAGGCTATTCTTGATGTGTTTGGCATGGATGCAGGCAAGTGTTTTTTATGTATTTATTTATTTATTCACATTCAAATATGCTGTTTATTAATTTTCAGTTATCTGAAACATTAACTCGTCGTGACAAGCGAGGATTTATCAGCTAGTCATTTTCTTCAACTCAAAAGCTGTGCTCATTTCACATAAAAAAAATAATGACCTATTCTACAGGGATCTGTTCATCATTATATCGGGACCTTGTTCATATAATCTGATCAAATGCTTTGTCTTGAGCCTTTGCGAGAACTGTGTGCATCTCCCTCAAGATTCTGTATGTTCTTTTTTTTTTTTTTTGCGTTCAGAAACATCTATGTCCGAAGGCGTGCGCGTGCTCCCTCAAGGTTACTGGTACACTGTGCTTTACTCGTCGGTGATCCTCCTGCTGTGTCTGGTGGTGTGTCTGGTGGGCGCCCACATCTACTCCCGGATGGCCTTCGGCATCCTGCTGCTGGTCACCGTCTCGCTGCTGTCCGTCTTCGTCAGTTCTGTGGCCGTCAAACCTCTGGATTTTGTCATCAGTCACCCGGGTCCTGGCAATCAGACCCTGCGTTACAACGCCAGCTACACCGGCTTTAACGTGACCACACTGAAGAACAACCTGGGCTGTGAGTGTTTGAATGCGCAGTGCTCTTGGAAAATGTTGATAATCTAATGTACGTGTCACTCCCCCCCCCCTTGCAGCTGGTTACTCACTGGACTACAGCACCAACACGGTCATGTCGTTTGCCACCGTGTTCGCCATTATGTTCACCAGCTGCACTGGAATCATGGCTGGAGCCAACATGTCAGGTTATAAGTGATCTACTACCGCTACGAGGGATGCACCATTGCTGCTTTTTTTCCAGACAGAGTACTGTACATATATGTGCGCGATCCCCGATACCATGTATACCGATACTTCATAACGCCATTAATGTTGGAGCATTATTTTATTTTTACACGTACGAGTATGTAGACAAGTACAGTATCGGTGCATCCCTAACTTCTGTCACATTATGCAGTTTGAAGATTTAAAATGTGTTCCATAAAGGGATTGTTGGTTAATAAAATATACATATAAATATAATACAAAACTCTGTCCTCACCAATGATTGTTCTTGTGACTGAAGGGGACCTGGAAACACCAAGTGTGTCCATCCCCAAAGGAACCATCGTGGCCGTCATTTACACCTTCATCGTCTACATCCTATTCTTCCTGTTGGTCAGTGCCACTTGTGACAGGTGGGAAATTGACGTGAAACTCAATTTTTACTTTGCGACAGTAAAGCACTATTGGGGTTCACTCTTTTTTTTCTCTCTCTTGCACTTCTCCCACTCTCTAGAACTCTTTTGATTCAGGATTATGGTTTCCTCCAGCGAATTAACATCTGGCCACCGTTTGTGACCATTGGGATATACTGCGGTGCTCTGTTTGCCGCAATGTGCTCCATGATAGGAGCATCCCGTATCCTGCACGCTCTTGCTGTGGACCAACTCTTTGGTACTATTTCATCTCCCAAGACAACATCACCATTTCTGACCCAATTCCTTTTTTCTAAGCAGTTTAAATTAATTTTTCCCCCCCACAGGTTTGCCATTAGCACCTGCGACGATCACTACAAGCTCGGGAAACCCGTGGATGGCAGTGCTTTATACGTGGGGGCTGGCACAGGTGAGCAGGCCCTCTGCAGTGTTATTGATTGATTGATTGATCGATTGGGGGGGTGTTCACACATTGTCATAACTTTGCATTACAGGGTGTGGTGTTTGCAGGCCAGCTCAATGCCGTCGCCAGCTTGGTGACCGTTTTCTACTTGCTTGCCTACGCAGCTGTTGACCTCGCTTGTTTGGCGCTTGAATGGGCATCGGCCCCAAATTTCAGGTACTCAATGTCAACTATAGGGAAGATTCTAACCAGTGTTGTACACTGTACAATATACCGTATTTTCCGCACTGTAAGGCACTTTGGAGTATCAGGCGCACCTTCCACGAATGGCCTATTTTCAAACTGTTTTCATAACTAGGGCGCACCGGATTGTAAGGCGCATTGAATGAATAGAAGCTACAATAGTGGCCGCTGTTTCATTGTGCAGCCACTAGATGGAGCTATGCTAAAGGAATACAATACAATACAATACAAGCTTTCTTTATATCGAGCTTTCCCAACCGCTGCAGCTACAACAAAGCGCTTCACATAACATTTAAAAGACTGTCCAAGAAATCCGACTATTGATCCATATGTAAGGCGCATCGGATTATAAGGCGCACTGTCAGCTTTTGAGAAAATGCTTTTAGGGGCACCTTATAGTGCGGAAAATACGGTCTATATTTTTTAATATTCCCAAGCTTTAAATCACAAGACATCAAGCTCTGGTCTGACATGTGTTTCCTCACCCGGCTGTCTTTTCATTTTTGATTTATTGTGAAGAGGAGAAATTCAACTCAAATGCTACTGGATGTTTGTGTCGCACAAAAATACACAAAGCTGTCTGCATTTATTTGATATCCACGATAACCAGCTTAAGGTCCATCTCATAGCTAGTAATATTACTAGCATGCAAATGTCAATTCATTCACAGTTTTGCCCCACTCCTAACTTTGTATTCTTTGCTCAAGTTTCTTCCACGGCCATGAGTGGGGAAGGCCCTCCCTCCCTAAAAAATGTAAATGAACCTTGGCATTTTTTTCCATATTTTTTTGCCATGTTTGCCTCATCCTCTGGCATAACTTAACAAAGTTTCCAAGCTCTCCGTGCGGCAGTGGTGCTGTGTGCCAGTATCACCATTTTGTGACAGCTGCTGACCTGGAAAAATTAGATTGAGATAGACCATGACGAAAAGTGAAATTTAATGGCATGTGGCGTGGGTTTGGAAACTTTCTTAACCCTTTGGGATAATAGGCTACTGGGGGCATGGCCGCATCAATAGGGAAACATGAATTTGCGGCATGTTGTTATCAAGCTAAGGGCTGTAAAAATGCAACCCCCCCGGGGTGTTTTATGCCATTTTGGGGTCTGACGTAGGCCTGCGATGTGGGTTAAGGAGGTTTTCTGACCCATGTAATTGGAAAAGGGCCTTCGGCGATGCGGCGTCCTTGCCCGCCCCCCCCCCCCCCCGGGAATTGATGGCTGAGGACTATAAATAGACCTGCCAAAAGTGGGACTTTTTGGGTCAGTAAATATTATGCCTTTGGAAGGCTTCCACGTCCTCCGTGAAAGGGGCCGTGGCCAGAAACACAATTTTGCAGGAGCTGCAGACCTGAAAATAACAGCAGAAATGGACCCCACCCCCCCAGGAGAAGAGGCATTTCCATGCTATCATCGGGAAGTTGGTGTTGTGAGCATACGCAAGCGTTCCCGTCATAGGATGTTGTCGCGGGATCCTCCTTTATTTTAAATCATCACGAACATTTTTCAGTGTGGTGGTTGAAATTATATAAATAAAGACCCTAGCGGGGTGATTTTACACCCCCCCCCCCCCCCCCCCCCCCCCCCGACGTGGCTGTATCCGTTTCTGTGTGTTACAGGCCAACCTTCCAGTTTTTCTCGTGGCACACATGTCTGCTCGGGATCCTGAGCTGCTTAGTCATGATGTTCGTCATCAACCCCGTCTACTCATCGGGCAGCATCGTCCTCCTGTTGCTTCTGCTGCTTTTCCTCCACTACCGCTCTCCCACCAGCAGTTGGGGCTACATCAGCCAGGCCCTCATCTTCCATCAGGTACCACGTGATGCGCGTCCCGCTTCGTTCTTCGAAGTTTCTCACTCTCTGTTGTGGTTTTAGGTGCGCAAGTATCTACTGATGCTGGATGTGAGGAAGGACCACGTGAAGTTCTGGAGGCCGCAGGTGTTGTTGATGGTGGCCAATCCGCGCTCTTCTTGCCAGCTCATCCTGTTCGTCAACCAGCTGAAAAAGGGAGGACTCTACGTGCTGGGCCACGTCCAGCTCGGAGATCTGGGTAATGTTCCGTGCGTGCTCTGCATAGGACATCCGCAGCTAACGGCATTAACTGATTGTTATCTTTTCCTCGAGCAACCACTCCTACCATGCGCACACACAGACATACGTGGCAAATGCAAGTTCTCCATCGTAACGACTTCACTTCCTGTTTTTTTTTTTTTTTTTTTAATGGCTACCTCGTCCAGTATACATAGTGTGTTTCGACATGATCAAACTGTACTCGCGCAGCAAAAATACTCCGCTATTTGACTGTATGACTCAATTTTTTACTCTGTGAATCTTCTTGAAAGAAGCCAACGATACTGCGGGATACATCGTTGAAAGCAGATGATTTCACTAAACAGGAAGTAATGAATATGAATAAAAAAAAAATAAAAAAAAAAAACAATCCAAGCCCAGAAGCTTTTATTTCCCATTGCTCATTCTTTTGTGAGAGGTTTTTATATGTTACTGCGATGTCATTTTCAAAATGCAAACAATAATCATTTTACATGAGGCACATTTTATTGAGATTCTTACCGACATTTCCATTTCCTGTCGTTCTGTCACGTCCCATGATCGCGATGTGTGCTCATCGTATGAAGTCTCTCGAAAGTGTCATGCGCAACCACCCGTGCTCGTCCACATCTGTCCGGCTTCCACATTTTTCATCATCCTCCGTGGTGATGAATTCTTACCTTGTCTGTGATTTAGATTCGCTGCCGTCAGACCCCGTGCAGCAGCAATACAACTTCTGGCTGAGCTTAGTCGACAAGCTCGGGGTGAAGGCCTTCGTCGACTTGACGCTCTCGCCGTCTGTCAGACAAGGAACGCAGCATCTTCTACGCATCACAGGCCTCGGTGAGAGAAGATGGGAGAAGCATCATAGATTTTAGTATTGACTCCGCAATGATTTTTATTTATTTATTTTTTTGTGTGTCTCTTCCAGGCGGCATGAAGCCCAACACTCTGATCTTGGGTTTCTATGACAGCTGCACCCCCGAGGACTTCTTCCTCCAAGATACCGCCTTCTGTGGCACATCCGTAGGACAAGGCCCAGAGGGCGAGTATAATTTCGGGGTTGACCTGCCTTCTTTACAGGCCCATTTCCCTCCCGTTCGACACGTCGAGAGCCCTCGCTGGCTCTCCCCCGAAGAGTACGTGGGGATCATCGCCGACGCTGTCAAAATGAACAAGAACGTGTGCCTCGGCCGCTATTTTTTCCACTTGGAGGGCGAAGGGAAGCAGAGCAAAGTGGACGGCTCGGAGCGGACTATCGACGTGTGGCCTCTCAACCTGCTGCAGCCGGGCTGTCGAGATTATCAGGACGTGTGCAGCCTCTTTTTGCTGCAGATGGCCTGCGTGCTCAACATGTCTAGCAAGTGGCGCCACGCCCGAATGAGGATCTTCCTCAACGTGGAGACGGAGTCCAGCGACCAGGGATGGGTGGTCGACGAGGAGACCTTTCGTGAGTTGCTCAAGAAGCTTCGCATCCGAGCGTCCATCAAGATCGTCCCGTGGGACTCGGTGGTGCAACACCACGATCAGACGGCTACCGAGGGCGGTAAGGAGCAGAGCCACGCCCTCTCTGACCACTTCCTCTCTGCGGTGAACTCGATGTTGATGGAGCACAGTTCTCAGGCTGCCGTTCGCTTCCTCTATTTACCGCGGCCCCCCGCTCATCACAGCCATTCCCAGACGTACTTGGCCCAGCTGGAAGCGGTGACCAACGGTTTGGGTCCGACGCTCCTCATCCATGGCGTCACCCCGGTGACCTACACGGATCTTTAAATCTTGCCTGACTGTTTATATACTGTATATATAAGCACCGGTTCCACGTGGATGCAATGTTTCAACAAAGCTTACACTCGACAGACACTTGATTTGATAGACCAAATGCGATCCGGTGCAAGCGACGGGTTAAAAGTTCGGCCTCTGCAAAAGAGTAATGCTCGCTTTCGATTGACATTCTCAGAGCGGTTGATTATTTCACACTTAACATATTTATTGTGGATGTAGTGAACATAGTGTCCACCAAATGCAGTGTCTGGTGAGCGTATGACACTTACTGTACACAGTGTGTTACTCTTAGCCGAGTGTAAATACGCACTTTTGATGATCTCACATTCTCGTAGGATACGTTCCTACTTTCATGCACTTGAACTGCTTCGCTGATTAAAACGATGTTTACCGTCCTAACTTATCGTACCGTCTGCTGACCGTTCGGGTTGACTGTGTTACAGAGCCTTAAATACAAAAACCACAATTTTGACCAATTCAGGTCCTTTAAATATAGAAATGCCCAAATATTGAGGCACATTTTCAGGGATGTCATTCCGAATTTTGTGGTATTTAAAAGACAATGATAATAGTATATTGTCTGTTTTAATGGATTAATTTATTTAAATTTTTTTTTGCGGGACCCAGTGATATCAAGTCTTTTTTTTTTTTGGAGCTTAATTGATTGGATTCATCGATGTTACCTCAAATGAGTTGAGCTTTTTCAGTATTTATGCAAGAATTGGGAACAACTCTGGGTGTCTTGACTTCTGGTGGATATTTTGTTGGCATTCTTTTGCTTGAAGGTGCAAAACATTCAAATTCAGCCCGAGATGAGACACCAGGACCAACGATATGGATCAAATTAGGTCAAAATTGTAAAACAAAGGTTACTCGGTTATTGTACCACCACCACAAAGTCGCTAATACAATTTCTTGTGTTTGTGTTGTCAGTTGTGTTTAACGTCGCATGTTACCTCATTACAAACCGAAAACTGCCTAAAAAAAAAAAGCAGCAACAGCTAATGTGACTTAGCTTTGCTTCTCTCCCATGCTCTGTTTTTTTTTTTTTTGTAGTAGTTGATAGAAAAAGTCATCGGGTAACGAAACTGCACCTATACGACAATGAACATTGTCTATCAAGACTGAGATTTCATTTTGTTAAGATGGACTTTTTGAGACAGTTCGTAAGGTGGATCGGGTATCGAAACTGCACCTATACGACAATGAATATTGTCTATCAAGACTGAGATTTCATTTTAAGATGGACTTTTTGAGACAGTTCGTAAGGTGGATCTAATGAATTGATGCTGTGGCCAATGAGCTTGTCTGTGTATCGTAATCTTTGTAACTTCCTGAAAGCTTAACTGTAATAAAATATCGTCACCATACAGTATCTGTCGATATCGAGAATAGTTGGGACAACTCTTCAAATATCCAAATTTCTACATGTTTCCCCTCCAAAAAATAACATGCATCTCCACTTTTATGTGGGATGTAATATCTGAAAAAGTTGATTTGAATTTCGAATCTAAAGAAGGGAAAAAAAATGTTGATTCCACTCGCTTGTCAGTGACCCTACAAAAAAACGATTCTAACGTCCATCCATTGTAAAGTGCAGGCAAGAGTGGAGTGGTTGTTTCTTTACGAATTCGTATGAACCCCCTTGCACAGTCCTTTTTGGATTTTTCTCCGGTGTGCCGTGTCGTGCAGCTTCGCCACAAGGAACGAGGACATACGCAGACAGTCGGGGATGAGTAAGCTAATAGCAAAGCTCTGAAACACAAAAAAAATGGATGTTGCTGCGGAGGTCATTGTGTGTTTGTGATGATGATGATGATGATGATGATGACGGTGATGCTGACCTGCAGCGCGTGTAGCAGACAGCCGCTGGTGTAGCTAGAGTAACCCACTGTGTTCAAGGCCTCTCGGGCGAAAGCTGCAGCGCTCTTCACGTGGCCGCTGCTTTTCATTTTGTTCATGTTGGTGGAAACCAGGAAGGGCACGACGCACTGTGGAAATGAGACGAGTTTGCCTTTTGTTGTTCGGTCTTAAAGAAGCTCAAGTGCTCTTATCAGGCGCCAAATATAGTCGCTGTCAAGTACTGCTCTGACGTTCTTGTGGCATCTTGGTGCCGAGGAACTATGTTGATGTGAGGCAACGAGTTTACTTTCAACAAGAGTATTTCTTTTGCTGGCATATTGTTGAAGTGGGCTGAGCATCTTTCAGACAAAGGTATTGTTTTGCCTTTATTCATTTGGCATCTCAGTACAAAGGAACTTTGTTGAGATGAGTTGAAGAGCTCCTTTGAGACATAAGTAATGCATTGGCATGCCACTCTCTTGTGACATTGTGGTGTCAAGTAAGCAAATATGTTGAGGACGAGGAGCTTCATTTTGACAAAAGTTGTGCTTTGGGATCATCTTGTGGCATCAATTATTATAAACACGCAATCAGCCTTGATGGTTCAATGCCACCACGGAACACAATTTTGATGAGTTAGGTCTGCCTGCTTGTTTTTCTTTAACTACAAACTCATTTCTGAGTGAAATGATCTCAGTTTTTTTCTCTTATGATGTTAAGTTTTGGAGCTTTAGGATCCCCCATTATCCGAGAAAGAAACTGAGTGAAATTTGGGAATCTGCATGATTTTTTTTTTGTTCCTAATTGTAGTGTTATTGGAGGATTTTTGCTATTTGCGTCTTGCTCAATTGTAGTTTGTGGTACGAGTTTTCCAACATGAAAGTTTAGGAAGCCTGTTATGCAAATGAATCCCATCTGCAAGATTTTTTTTTTTTTTTTGAGAACTGAATATCACTTAGCTCACCTGGACTGTAATCCCTTCTGCCTTGTACTCAGCATGTAGACATTGAGAGAAATACATCACAAATGCCTGCCAAAAAAGAAAAAAAAATAGAAGAGAAAATCATAGATGAGTTTGAAAGAGCGAAACAAACACACGAAAGTGAAAGTTGATGCCAGACTAGCCCTACAATGCATCGTACCTTGGTGGCGGAGTAAAGGGCCAGCAGAGGCTGCGGATGGATTCCCACTTGCGAGGAGATATTAATGATCAATCCTGTTCTCCTGCAGCGAGGCAACCATGAAAAGATTAGTAATCCGGCAGGCAATTCTCCTCAATGTGCGACACCATCATTAGCATACCGTTCAAGCATGCCGGGCAAAACTAATCTTGTCGTCTGAGGAGAAGAGAGGGGAAGAAAAAAGCAAAACAAAAACAACTGTAAGACCTACTGTAAAGTGCAGATAAACCCAACATGACTTGTTTAATCTTCACGTGATCGTACTTGAGCAACAGAGAGGGCGTTACAGTCGAGAACCTCCGTGATTTTCTGGAGACAACAAACACATGAGGGAGAGAAACTGAGTGTCAACAACAACTGAGAGATGTGTAACCAAATAATTGAAACGCATTAAAAAAGATACCTGTTCAGCATCTGCAATTTCGAGGAATGAGGCGAAATCGTCAGAGTAGGACATCGCCACATTGTTCACTGTGGAACAGATATTAACAAGAATACTGTATTTAGTAATTATCATTGACGACGAAAAAAACTACCAAGAGTCAAAATTGTGAAGGTTGATGTACAGTATATTTTATATATTTATTCATGTCGTGTCTACATAAGTGTTGAAGAAGTGCGGTGCACGTGTTAACATCTCATCGCTTCATGGAGCATGAAAAGTTGATGTGATAAAGCCACAAATTTGTTTGAAATATTGTTATAATATGTGAGAATTCATGATTTATTGACATCTGTTTACGCGCCACATTGTTCGGAACATTTGGTAGAATTTTGTGATGTTGCAGTGACAGTTTAAAAGACTGCAAGTATAACATGGTCGTATTTTTGGCAGCTAAGAAGGCCTGACAATACATGGTCATTTTATTATCAGCAAAAAAACGCCTGACGAAATAGATGGTCGTTTTTTCAGCTAAAAACGCCTGACTATGCATGGTCGTTTTGGGGGGGTAAAAAAACGCTTTCCTATGAGGGGTGTCAAACTCAGGTCCTGGAAGGCCGCTGTCCTGCATGTTTTCCAAGTATCCCTGTTGCAACACACCTGATTCAAATGATCAGATCATCAGCAAGCTCTGTGGAAGCCTGACATTGAACCTGTTCATTTGAATGAGGTGTGTTGCAACAGGGAGACTTCGAAAACATGCAGGACAGCGGCCCTCCAGGACCTGAGTTTGACACCTATGCTATACATGGTCATTTTTTTCGTCGAAAAAAAAACACCTTTCTATACACTGTCGTTTTTTTCGGCAAAAAAACGCCTTACTATACGTGGTGTTTTTTTTTCAGCAAAAAACCCCAAACTATACAAGGTCGATTTTTTTTGGGCGTTAAAACGCCTTACGATTCATGGATGTTTTTTTTTCAGCCAAAAATTCCTCACGAAAAAAACGACATAGTCTAGGAAGGCGTTTTTAGCACGAAAAAAACGACATAGTATAGTAAGGCGTTTTTAGCACGAAAAAAACGACATTGTATAGTAAGGCATTTATAGCCGAAAAAAAACGACATAGTATAGTAAGGCGTTTTTAGCCGAAAAAAACGACACAGTATAGTAAGGCGTTTTTGGCACGAAAAAAACGACATAGTATCGTAAGGCGTTTTTGGCACGAAAAAAACGACATAATATAGTATGCCGTTTGTGGTATGAAAAAAACGACATAGTATAGTAAGGCGTTTTT